CCCCCCCCCCCCCTTCTCCATCAAATATTTCTTTCAAGTATATTACTAAAACATATCTTATCTAAATATCTTATATTCAGTTATTTCTCATGTTTATCTATCTTTTTACTTTTCTATCCCTTTCAAAGATGAATTGATATCGATTTTTGATATTTTGTAGTGACATCTATAGATTGATTATATGAATATAAATCTAATACCCTCCTACCTTTCTGCCTTTTTATTCATCTTTAATCTGCCAAGATCTATCTATTTATCTTGGTTTCTATCCTTGGGAAAGCCAATGTTTCCGATTACTGTGCTAGCTGGGAACTTTTAAACGGACGAAATGAGTTAAACCCATTTTCTCCATTTGAAACCTAAAATTTTTTAATCTTAATTGTTTTAACCATTTTGTTACAATATTTAGATCTATTAAAAATACGAGATTCTTAGTTATTATTTACTTTATACCCACATTGGAAATTCCTTCAGATATTTAGAATTTACTTTTTCTCGGTTCAAAATTGATCCTTCAGACAATAACATTATACATTTCGAACGTTATAATATAAAATATTCTTTTTTAAAGGAATGTTCGCGAAAAATGAAATAATCGCTTTTAATCGCTGATAATCGCGAAAAGTGAAAGTTTATTACCAAAGAGCTTAGAGTCAATGAAAATTCACTTAGTTGCATTATTCAACTCAACCCGTAATTATTTCAAACTGATCTTACAGATGTTACAATACGAAAATTTTGGATTTGATTCTGGTCATTCGATTAAAGTTATTATTTTATAATATTCGAATATAGTTATTATTTTATAATATTCGAATACAGTTATTATTTTATTATATTCGAATATAGTTATTATTTTATAATATTCGAATATAGTTATTATTTTATAATATTCGAATATAGTTATTATTTTATAATATTCGAATATAGTTATTGTTTTATAATATCTAAATTTTTATATGATCCGAGTTTAAGTTTGGAGAATATTAATTCCAACAATTTTAAGGATTTTAAATAATAAACATGCACTAGACCGGCAAAAATTAGTAGTGATCGAATCCGAATTTGATTAAAATGCAGCCTAACCGCTTTTTTTCGCAATCACTTCCCTTTTGAACAGTACATTTATTCTACATTCTTCATCTAATAAATATTTCAAAATATGTGGAAATTGCTTGCACTCAACTTTAATCTATTCTTTGGTAATTTGTTAAATAGAAAACCTATCATTTTGTTAATCTAGGTCTATATGCATTGATGCAATATGAATGCAAAGCTTTCAACCAATTATTTTATGCTCTTAGCTAGCTCTGCTACTTTTTAAATGTGTGTTTTTGCCTCCAGTTTTAATAGTTGCCAGAAAAAGCTTCTCCATTCTGCACTATTCTATATGAAAAAATTAAAAACAAAAATGTGTTTAGATTTTATAAAAAAAATTACTCCAGGGAATTCTTTTAAGATTATAAACAGAATTTGGAATTATTTTTCAGTTTCTTTGTGTTTAAACAAGCTGTGCAATGTGCATCGTTTATTTATATATTTAACAAAAAGATAAAAGGATCCATTTAAAAATAAATGGAAACTATTTAAAATACAAATCATTCAAATAAAAAAATAACAAAGAGTAAAAATAATAATATAATTAATCAAATTAAAAAATAATAAACTTAAATAAAATAAAATTTTGTCGTAAATGTAAGAAAATTACATTTTGATATTCTTAAGCTGTCAAAAACAATGCCAACAAAAAGATAAAGTTGTGCGAAATTTCTCCTCTTTCTAACTTTTAAAACTTTTTACTCAATATTTCTAATTTATATACTTGGAATACAGTGAATTGAATCAAGTCTAATAAAAGGCTCTGATTCTCGGACATTTTTACCTCTTTTTTATCTCAGAAATTTTATATTCTTTATTCTTTATATTCTTTTGAGAGTTCTATCTACGACTTCATAGAAGTCAGGGGTGGGAAAGGGATATGAATTAACGAACAGGAGGAGTTGGATAGGAAGAAGATAGTGAGTAGTGGAGAGAGTGGGAGGCTGGGTAAATTACTTTAGAAAACTTTTGTAATTTTTTAGCTAATATAAAGTTCAGAAATACAGAATATAAGAAAGATTTATATTTATAACAGAGGGTTACGATGTATGGACATAAATAAAAAATAAATAATAAAAAATATGAAACAAAACTCTTTCAATCTTTGTTAGCTTCAACTTTAGATTTTGTATACAAAATATTATTTGGTGAAAGTCTTTCTAAACCGCTAAGGCATGAAATGAAGGGGGGGGGATAAATAAAAGGAAAGCAACTAAATTCTAAGTTATCTCTAAATTCCTTTTTTGAAACCCTGTTTTATAATTAAAAAGTTTAATCTAATGTTATTTTTTTTGATTTTGTACAGTAATAACCGGAAAACTCTGGAATAGGAACTGTGTAGTGTTAACAGACCCATTACTTAATAAGTAATTTAATAACTTACTAGTAAAACTATTTGCTTTGTATCAACATCAAATGCACTTTAGTATTACCTTAATGTCCCCATCCTATTCTACACTTTTCTTCTTCTCATTGTATATTCCAAAGCTTCTATGTGTTTACGTGTTTACTTTCTTAAAATTTACTCAACAATTGTTTTTTTTTTCAGAAACAGATTTGCCCGAGCTGCCAGGATTTTACTGCAGAGATCTACACCAACAATTCTATCCAAACCAAACCAATAATTCTATCCAAACCAAACCAACAATTCTATCCAAACCAAACCAATAATTCTATCCAAACCAAACCAATAATTCTATCCAAACCAAACTCAAATTGTCAAGAATTGAAAGCTACCGTCAAGTTTTAACAGTATCTCTAGAACCGGAAATGTGAGGAAATGAGGTTAATAGACACTTCCGGTTTGAATTGGATCCAATATACGAGTATTAACAATGCAATATGAGTTTAAACTTGAGGAATAAATTTCACAAATATTTGAGCCTTCAACACTTTTTTCAAGGTTAGAATAATAAACCAATTATTTAAACGTACATTTTATAATTAAACCTAAGTTTGATGTCATTAAACTCATAATCACGAAATAAAAATGTAAATGTTTCATAAATTTAGGTTGAACACAGGAACTATAAAGAAAATTAACAACACCCTAGAGAAAACCATCAAAACTTAAAGTTTAATTTTTGCGGGAAAACCGTAAAGAAAGATGGACGGTCGGTGCGCAGACTGCAGTGCTCGGGGAGTATCTAACCATGGACATTTCTCAGGTAAAATATTACAATAAAGGTTTAACAGCAGGAATTGAGCCTTTACCACAAACTCACATTTTCTGATCCCTACTCCTTTGCAACCTGATCGTGTAAACCTTTGATATTTCAAGCTTAGATTATTTTACCTACCAACATTCATAGTTTGAAATATCTAAGGTCTACGCAAAGATATATGAATCTTTGTGGCTAAAACTCAATTCCTTTTTTTATCATTTAGTCATAATTTTTTTTTCGTAATTAAATTAATTGGTTATTATTGCTAATAATTCATCAATACTAAAAGAAAGAGAAAAAATATAATGAAATGTTTCGTGACATTTCTTTTATCAGACGTTGCATTTGGCTCTAAATTTTAATACTTTTCTCTGTAAGAAGTAGGAGATATGTATAATATTATATTTAATATTATGATAAGAACACAAGCTGTGTGTTCTGTAGTCTGGTTGTAGTATGTACTTATCATAATCTGAAGTATAGATTCTAATCATATACAGTATACATCCATACATATACACACCATAAACATATACAGTATACATCCATACATATACACACAATACACATATACAGTATACATCCATACTTATACACGCCAGAAACATATACAGTATCCATCCATACATATACACACCAGAAACATATACAGTATCCATCCATACATAAACATACCAGAAACATATACAGTATCCATCCATACATATACACACCAGAAACATATACAGTATCCATCTATACATATACACACCAGAAACATATACAGTATCCATCCATACATATACACACCAGAAACATATACTGTATCCATTCATACATATACACACCAGAAACATATGCAGTATCCATCCATACGTATACACACCAGAAACATATACAGTATCAATCCGTACATATACACACCAGAAAGATATACAGTATCCATCCATACATAAACACACCAGAAACATATACAGTATCCATCCATACATATACACACCAGAAACTTATACAGTATCCATCCATACATATACACACCAGAAACATATACAGAATCCATCCATACATAAACGGAGGGAAACTACAGAATTAACATGTTAAATGTAAAAAGATTACACAGGTATTACGAATAATATCTCTTTAGGAGAAAGACTCTATTTCTTATAATTTAATTTTATTCCTTTAAATAGAATCTGCTTCAATTTTTTTTAGAGAAACATCAATCTGTCCAACTGCGAACATTCCCTTTAATAGTTAGAAATATAGCGAAGAATAAGAGATTGATAACCTAGTGTACTGAGTATACAACAAGTATCCTTCATCTTCAAATATAACATTTGACACAGAAACTATATACCGACATAGCATAACCACCTATCCTACCCACCCACCACCCATAGATGGTTTAATATATATATATTTGCCACAGAAACTATATACCGACATAGCATAACCACCCATCCTACCCACCCACCACACAGAAATGGTTTAATATATATATATATATATATATATGCCACAGAAACTATACACCGACATAGCATAACCACCCATCCTACCCACCCACCACCCATAGATGGTTTAATATATATATATATTTGCCACAGTAACTACACACCGACATAGCATAACCACCCATCCTACCCACCCACCACCCATAGATGGTTTAATATATATATATATATTTGCCACAGAAACTATATACCGAATTAGCATAACCACCCATCCTACCCACTCAGCACCCATAGATGGTTTAATATATATATATATATATTTGCCACAGAAACTATATACCGAGTACCGACATAGCATAACCACCCATCCTAGATGGTTTCCTATGAATAACCACCGAGCACCCATGGATGGTTTAATATATATATATATTTGCCACAGTAACTACACACCGACATAGCATAACCACCCATCCTACCCACCCAGCACCCATAGATTGTTTAATATATATATTTGCCACAGTAACTATACACCGACATAGCATAACCACCCATCCTACCCACCCAGCACCCATAGATTGTTTAATATATATATTTGCCACAGTAACTATATACCGACATAGCATAACCACCCATCCTATCCACCCAGCACCCATAGATTGTTTAATATATATATTGGCCACAGAAACTATATACCGACATAGAATAACCACCCATCTTACCCACCCAGCACCCATAGATGGTTTAATATATATATATTTGCCACAGTAACTATATACCGACATAGCATAACCACCCATGCTACCCACCCAGCACCCATAGATGGTTTAATATATATATATTTGCCACAGTAACTATATACTGACATAGCATAACCACCCATCCTACCCACCCAGCACCCATAGATGGTTTAATATATATATATTTGCCACAGTAACTATATACCGACATAGATAACCACCCATCCTAGATGGTTTCCTAAAATAACCACCGAGCACCCATAGATGGTTTAATATATATATTTATATTAACCTACCCAGCATCCATCCTAGTTAATTTTTTAAAAGTATATCAATGGATTTTAGATAATTAGTTCAAACTGAATACATCTAATTTTCTGATCCTTATATCTTAGTAAATCTTTAATATTTCAATTCTTCACTTTCAAATCGCCATAACTCTTGGTTGGAAATATATGAAAGATAAAAAACATGAAGTTACAAAGATCTAGGTAGAGTATGAGGAGAGTAATCAGTTTGTTTAGATTATTACTGTCACTTCATAAGTTACCAACTTTCTTTCAATTATCTGTTTTAAAGGAGATTTTCAAAATAAAATATTCTGGAACTAGATACTTAAACATTGAATATCACAGTAAATGACGAACAACCACGAACCGAAGTAAGAAATATATTTAAGAAATAAAAAATTATTTAAAAACAAATGATCATTGAGATTTATCATATATATCATCTTCTTAGAAATTTAATATTTTACCTTTTCTAGAAGAACAAAAAATCTTGTTTTGATATAATATTCTAAAAATTGTAATACAATATAGAATTTGTTCTGTGAAGATATTAAAGTTGAGTGCTGTTGGATCTTATTGATTTGGAACTAGGATTCTGTTTCATCTAGGGAATATTTTATCTTTCTGTCGTCTCTACACACTTCTTATTTGTGATAAAGAATATAGAATAAGGAATAAATCTTTATATACAAAGATTGATTTAGATGCAATGCAATGCAATATTTTCAACAGTACTAATTCAGATATTAATGCAAATACCTCCTAATAATAAAATCAAGCAATTTTCTATCTATCTATCTTTCTATCTATGTACTTTGATTAAACAGCTTTTCACATTTTTATCCTGTTTATTGCCAACATGATGTTTCTTGTTTTCACACAATTTTCACAATCTATCTATCTATTTATTTGAAAATTTATTGATTTAACTATCTAATTATTTATCTATCTATCTATAATATATATCTATCTATATCTGTATATTTTTTTCTCTTATCTATCTATCTAACTAACTAAATATCTATAGCTACCTATCTTTCTATCTATCTCAGTTCTATTTATCTATCTATCTATCTCTACTCTATTATTGTACTTGAAGATTAGTAGAAGTATTGATTTTTAACTTTCTCTCTACTTCCAATCTAAAATATTCAATTACTCAATTTACTGAATTCTAATCAACAATTATCTTATTCTCTTTAACAGCAATATAACCAGTTAAAGTTCAAATAATTTAAACGAAATTATTAAAACAAAAACATTCATCCGGCCTGCACTATCCACAAAAAGGTACAAAACAACTGAACTGTAAAACAGCACATTTTAATATTTTTAACTAATATGCTATTGAAAAATCAATCCAATCTTGACATAAGGAAAGGTCAAAGAGCATAGTTGTATTCCTCCTCTAGTCTAGTTTAAGTATAAGAAAATGACAAAACTTTTCCTTCTTCGCATTCATCCAACCCATTTTTTTACTGGTAAACTGACCCAATCCCGTTCCACGCAGATTTAACGGTTCGGTTCTTATTCCTACAGAGAACTGTAAATTTCAATCACAATTTGACCAATTAAACCTAGTCTTGTCTCTTTTACACTTTTTCGGAATATACGTTTTCAACGAAAAAGTATAGAAAGACCAACACGTGATTAAAATAAAATTGGAGAAACCGAATGCATCTTAACCTGGTTAGTTCGGGAAGGTTCAATTTTAAATTCTAAAATCTGGAAAAGATATTGTTATTAAATATTAGCAAAGTATCCCAATTTTGTGGGTGAGCCGAGGGAAGTATTCCCTTGGAACCAACTGTATGGTTGAGCTGGGGACAGTTCCTAGAATATATTAATATTTAACTACAGTGTGTTTCAATAAACAATCAAAACTGTCGATACTTTTAAATCTATCCTGAAATGAAATGAAAAGAACTGAGTCTTTGCCACAAACTCAAATTTTCTAATCCCTATGTCTTCGCAACCTACTTGTGTAAACCTGAAAAATTTCAAACTCAGATCAAAAACTCTTTACCAAAATGTGGTCTGCCTTTTTTGTGCTTTTAAAATAATCGGAGTTAAGAAGAACTAAAGATTGACTGCCAAAAAAGACTACGTAAATTTTGTGATTTAAGAATCATATATGTAAAGATAGATTACTGGCTCAAATTATTTTAATCAAAGACGACCAGTAAGTCGTCTCTTAACTGCCATGTTTCGTGGGACACCTTGTATAATAAGTAGGAAATCACTATACAAATCAACAAGTAAATAAATGTCAATATCTGAAGAAAAAATACTTTGCCAATAACGGAAGTTTTGGGAAATAAACCAACGTTATCTTTAAGAACCAAACACCATTAAAGAAATTTAGACTTTGCCACAAACTTAGATTTTCTAATCTCTAAATCTTTGCAACCTGATGGTATAAATCTAGATTTTATGTAACAAAATTCATAGTTTGAAATATGGTTCACTATATTGGGTTACAAAAATTAGAAAACCATGGTTTGTTGCAAAGACTCAATTCCTTTACGAACTCAACTACCAACATTTTTAGGGAACCAAACACTATTAAATTTATGAACCCAACCATCGTTATTGTGAATCGAACTATCATGTACTTACAAACCAAACTACCAATATTATTATGGGTTAGATTACATAACTATAAACACAACCATCGATGTGTTTGTAAACAAATGTATATATGAACCCAAATTCCGATATTATCGTAAAGAAACTGAATCTATGCCACATAATCTGATAATTCAAATCTCTGTTTCTTTGCAACCCAATTTTGTAGACCTTAGATATTTCAAACTATAGAATTTTGTCAGATCAAATAATCTTAGTTTGAAATATCAAAGATTCACAACATCAGGTTGCAGAGATTAGAAATTTTTTGTTTGTGCCAAAAACTCAATTTCTTTAACCACCTAAATATTCAATGTGAACCCAACCACCGATATATTTTGTGAACCCAACCACCGATATATTTTGTGAACCCAACTACCGATATATTTTGTGAACCCAAACACCGATATATTTTGTGAACCCAACCACCGATATATTTTGCGACCCCAACCACCGATATATTTTGTGAGCCCAACTACCGATATATTTTGAGAACCCAACTACCGATATATTTTTAGAACCCAACCACCGATATATTTTGAGAACCCAACTACCGATATATTTTTAGAACCCAACTACCGATATATTTTTAGAACCCAACCACCGATATATTTTGTGAACCCAACCACCGATATATTTTGAGAAACCAACCACCGATATATTTTGAGAACCCAACCACCGATATATTTTGTGTACCCAACTACCGATATATTTTGTGAACCCAAACACCGATATATTTTGTGAACCCAACCAACGATATATTATGTGAAACCAATCACCGCCGATATATTTTGAGAACCCAACTACCGATATATTTTGTAAACCCAACCATCGATATATTTTGAAAGTTCTCAAAACTTGAACTAGAAGATGAAGAGCAGTTTAGAAGAAAAATAGTTTAGCTAGTCGAGGAGGACAGTAGGAAGGGGGGGNAAAGGGAGGGGGGGGGGGTTACAGTCTTTTTGTAGCTGACCTTAGACAGCTTTTGGTAATTCATCTTGAGCTCATCCATTCTAGAACTGAAAACTTTTTTAGCAAAAACTTATTTTTGTATCTTTCTTCTCGACTGGATTTTGTACACCAGAGCCTACCCTTGGCTTATCCCATCTTAACATTTATAAAACAAAATATATATTTCATAATGTTTGTTTGGTTCAAATACTAATGTATGATAATACATAAAAAACTTATCATTCATACAATTATTTCAAATTTACTATGTGCAAATGTACGCTTCTATTTACAAGAAAGATGCTTTAATTGATCCGAAGTTTGTAGAACCAACTTCCATTCTACCAAATGTAATCCAATTTTAAAGTTTAAATGAAACTAAGTTAAAGGGACTGTACTCGTAATTTCAAGTGACCTTCCATTGATAAAGGGGCATATCCGTTTTGCAACGGTACCATATAAGCTTAGCAGAAGCCCAAAGGAGTTACGCGCGTGCCGCGTTGAATTATAAGACACAGAGCTAGAGAGCCTGTTTTAGCCGCGGCTCTTTGCCCCCTAGCCTGTCCTAGCCGCGGCGCTCGGCCCAATATCCTGTTCTAGCCTCAGTGATCGGCCCAGAAAGTGTCTTAACCTAACCCTAAAATATATACTAATCTCTCTTTTCTGAAATTTAACGCGGTAAGCGCGCGTAACTTCTTTAGGAAACTGCCTATATGCTTTGTCTAATCAATAGAATATCCATGTTTCTGATTATGAAAACTGTTTATTTTCATTTTTGGGTTCTCTGCAAAAGTGATTTTCGCATTTTTTGCTGAGAAACAATGGAGAAATTATCAGAATTAAACACTTTTCAGCCAAAAAAAAAACGACGTTATCCTTTGAATTATTAACTAAATTAAGGTTTCAAGGCTAACGTTGCGAATCTTCCTTTTTGTTTATTTTTTCGGATTGCTCATTTTCCGTGCAAATGATGTTTAGCTTTTGAAAAAAAGATTTCATTTAAGTCTCTTTTTCTCTCTTCTCTGTTCAACCATTTTTCGTTAATCTTCCCTCCGCCTTTCTATTTCTCTATTTTCTTGTGAACTACGGACCAACATGTACATGGTCTCACGCAAAAATTGCGTTTTTTTGCTAAATACTCCTTTTAAACTTAAGCTATAGAAACAAACGCTTGCAATTTTAAAAAGTATATGTCTAGGGCTACAAAAAATGTTGGTGAGGTAAAACCAAAGGCCAAGGCGTTGCGACACCTTAAAGTCGAGGCTGTATAAACATTTGATGAAGAATATTCCGAGTTGTCTAAATCTGAGTTTGTGAGTTCTCCTGTATAATAATTAGGATGCCAAGACTAATTATTCACCAACCATTAGTCAAGTACTTCTAAATGAGATACCTTGCTCAATGCACTTCAGCATATATTTGTTAAATAAACTCTGCTTTATTTTTCTTATTTTGGGTTGATATTTTAACATAAAAAAGCTCCTTAAAGGGACTGTATAAGCTTAATAAGTGACCTTCCATGCAAAGATTTACAACGGTACTATTTAAACCTTTGACAGGTCTAGGATGATGAATCATCGATGGAGAACTCCAAATTTACAATAAAAAAATCTAGTGAAAAGCATATTTAACAGATTCATGCAATAATTATTTTTTCCTCTCCTTCAATTTATTCATAATTTTACTATGAACGTAACATAATACAAAATCTTTTTATTGGAGAACTATTTTTGTTTTTATTTTCACAAATTTGTTGCGCATGTGTCTGTAGCTTTAAATGTTTTTAAAAATCAAAATAAATAATTCTTAATTTCAAGGATGTAATGCAAGGAAAGTTATTTCAGAAGTGTACACATCTTTTGTACTGCAGTGTACTGTCTCTGTGCGGTAATGTAAACACAAGACGGATGTCAAGGCCTGATATGGGATCCATCTTTCACATAAAAAATCAATGAAATATTCTGGTCATAGGAAACTATTATCAAAATTTAATGCTTTTAATCTCCTCGGATACTAAACGAACACTGATGCATCTATTCTTGTTCACAAATTCCGCCCAAAGAGAACTGGTTTGAATGTGTACGCAGAGTATACACGACCGCAATTAACTTTCCTTGCATTACACCCTTGCTTAATATCATGTCTGAATTTTTTTCAATTATTATACTATACATCATAGGCTTATGTAGAAATTAGAATAAAAAATTAGTTGTCTGCCATTTTTAAAAGTAGTTTTGTCGTGTGTTTTGAATATGAAATCCTTGGCTTCTGATTGGCTGTTCGTTTTCTGCACTTCATGGGATATCGAATAAAGATTAAAATAATCTGTATATTTTCAATGTAAAATAATTTGTCCATTTGATATTACTTTTTTCTAAACACCCTGTCTCTAAATTATCTTACAATTTCTACCTCTCATTGTTTTAAAATGGGGTAAATTAATGCTTTGTAATTTAGTGCAATGTATTCCGTTGTGAAGGTTTCCTCAAAGAAATTGTTACAATTTAGAAGAAAGTATGTACGCTGAGAACCAGAACATTGATATTTTAGACATAAATAGTTAAATGAACATGAGACACAGCAATTGTGCAGTGTTAACAGATCCATTTCAGATAATAATTGATTTAATAAGTTATTGGTAAATACATATATTTATTTACATATATGTAAATATATAAATCAAGTAATAGTAAGGGTGAGCAAGCTCAAAACTAACGGAGGAGAAAGAGAATGAAAGAAACATTACAATGATAACAGAGCCTTAGTGGATATTTTCAATACACTAGCTAAATATTTTTATTTTGACTGGGAATAATCTGTTAAAAAAGGTTTTCATTTTAAATTTACAAAATTAAATTATAAAACGCATAAGAAAACAATCTACAAAAACCGAATATAATTTTGTAACAGCGATTTTATTTTTGAACCTCTGTTGAATTTAAGAAGGACTATTTTTACTGTATTAAATAATTCATTGGTTAAACCAAGCTTAACAATAATCCTCAATCAAAAATTTACCTAGCAAATTTCAGAGAAACATTTTTTTAGTGGACTTTATTATCAGATATATGTATATTTCTGATCAATATTGATACATATTGATCAGAAATATTGAGGTTTATTGGAAAACTATTTTCTGGTCTTTAAACAATTTTACTTCAATTCAAGATTAGAATAAGAGATATAAATATAATAAGGTTAAATAAGAGCTTTATCATTAAACAATAGCTTGGGAACTCAGCTTTGCTTGAAAACTAAACTATCCCATGAGTTACGATATTCAAACAGACAGACAAACAGAGATTACTGGTTCATATGCTTAGATGTACAACTAGCTTAGGAACCCAGCTCTATGTCTAGAAATATAGAGTCGGTTAACTTAACTTGACTAAGCTAAGATCATTTTCGTAATTCTAAAGATTTCTTAATCAACTTTCAAAGTTTTTAATTTAAGAATTAGAACTTGTAAGTATTTTACAAAAAAAAGAATACCTTGTGAGGCAAATCGAAGGTGGGGTTTATGAGTTATGATTAGACATACAGACTAGACAGAGCGCAGAGATAATAAAATAAAATACAAAATGATAAGTTTGGGATTTATGCGAAAGATAAATAATATAATTTCTCAATGTTTAGGAGTTGTGTACAGAGAAAAGAAGGATACAAGTGCATTCTCCAAGGTGATGAAGATCAAGAAGCGTCTCAGCCAAAGCTTTGGGAAACTCAGTAAGTTTATATAGTTACCTTCCCTTTCTGATAAACATACGTTAGCCTAGATATAAATTAGGACAGGAGACATGTAGAAGTGAAATAAAAAACTTTCTTTAAAAATATCCTAAATGTTGTTTGTCTGTTTCTAAATTGAGAATATAGAATTATAAGTCTAATCTTTTTCTAAAGCTTTAGGTTACTACACAAAGCTTACAAGACCAAGAATTGATGATTTTTATAAAATTCAAATTGTAATTTTATAAAATCATAAATATTTATATCTTTAAAAAGAATTTTTGTTGTTGTTAATATTTTGAGAAAACTCTCTTCTACTTTATATCCTCCATGGAATAATATCTCCCCCGCAAATACTTAACACAGAATATTATTTTGGGAAGATAATGAAAATTTGCATAATCCTGAGAAATTATCTTTTGTCTCGATTCCACGGGATTTGGCTAGGGTTTAATGCTGTGGTGTGTGTGGGGAGTTTTTACATGAAGTTTGAGATAAATAAATAATAAACATTCAGCGGCAATGGAGAATGATATTTTGGAGGGAGGGGAAAGGGGACTAGAAATAAGGGAGGGGGGAGAGAATGTGCAGCATAAAGTTCTCTAAAAATTCCTCAAATCTATAATTTTCCTCGTTTCCAAGAAAAAATGCATTCTCTGATTACAGTTTCGTGAATGTTTTTCTCCAATAAATTCAACTCCGAAAATCATCAAAGGACTTGCACACTGCTTGGAACTTAATTTGATTTTCTTAATGGGAACTTTTGATCTCAAAATTTAAGCTCGTTGGAAAAAAAAATCAAAGATTAATCTTGGCTACTGATGGTCCAGGTTTTCTTATTGGCCAAATCCCCGAACCTAAATCTTTGAAATACTGATAGAAACCGATCTCCTGAGATTGAATGAAACCATACAGATTAAACCCGTAAGCACTTAATTAAACAAATTCTGACTCATCTTAAATTGACTAATAAACTCTTTAAAGTTAAGAACAATTTCAAACTGTTCGAGTTTGAAATTTTTTTAGTCTTCTGCAATGAAAGAAAAAAGTTTTATTTTGTAAAACCTCAAATGTTTTCTACATTTGATCAAAAATATTTTTGTTTTTGGGAGTCTTCACTCTAAAAGGAATTCCGAAAACGAGTAAAGAAAAAATATAAAAGATGTCAGAGGTTTCCTAGACAAATATTTTTTATCGTACTTTCCATTAAATAGAATTAGAAGGTAAATGAATAACTTGTTTATTCGATCGTTTATTTTTAAGATTAAGAATTAAAAGAAAGTTTTTTTATATGGGCCAAAGGTGAACTTTACTATTATTGTTCAGTGTTCAGTGATTCGACTTATCAGAGGTTCGCCACAATTTTAAATATATTATAATACCTGTATCTTAGCAACCTGATGGTGTAAACCTTTGATATTTAAACTTAGATTATTTGATTTATTAGAATTCATAGTTTGAAATATCTAAGGTCCAAAAAATTGGGTTACAAAGACTCAATTTCATGCTTTACCAATACTAAGTGTGGATTCTTTAGCAAGTGACGAATATGTAAAGCTAAGCTATGCCGGTTTAGCTCTATAATAAACAAAATTTCGCTTCTGATTACTCCAATTCTAATGTTTCCAGGTATAAGTAAGGACGGATCTCCTGACTCCTCTGGAACCCGTCCTTCTCCTCCAACTAAACTGGATAAGCTCCGGTTTGCTGGGTACTCTGCAGAGTTCCTGGATAGAGTTGAACCTAACGGAAATATTCCAGACAGATGTGCTCCAGGTAGAAATTAATCAACCCTTATGCACTTTTGTTTGTTTACATTTAATTGAGTTTTGTTGTCAAAGCCAATTTATGTTATGTCGTCTTCTATCCAGTAGCTTTATTATTTCTGGTAACTTTTTATAATTTATTAAAAGTGTTAATAATAAAGACTATCTAGATTATATTTAGAAGAACATTCTAGCTCAGAGAGATTTTTAAAAGAAAGAAGGAAAAACTGTCATGTTTCGTACGTAAAATTCCTTGATTTTGTTCTTATTGGAACCAATTATAATAACATTTCTTAAAAGTCGACTTTGCGCTCAAACTCAGGATTTACAGATCTTTAAAAAGTTTTATATGTCTAAAATGAATCCTAGAGAATTTTTCTTTAAGATTAAAAGAAATTCACAGCACAACGTTGTAATAAATATATTATATTGGTAATTTGGAAAATATTTAAAGGAAGTTGTATTTGTTTTTTTTTAACGCTTAAGAAAAGTATTTCTTTCCTTAAAAATATTATTTAAGCTGTGAACACAATCGGTTTGTTTACTGTATAGTTTTTGGATTGTACATGTACATATTTGGGTTTACATGTACATAGATTGTACAATGAACAATGATTGTAACACAGTAACATACTGCAGTTTGTAAGTTGACAACTGAATAATTAGATTTTTAATTCTTGTTTAATCAGCTTGAAGTACTTGATCTAAAGCACGCAATTATTCGATTTGAATTTCTTCCTGTTTATAAATAAAACTACACAGCTCTATTTACAAAATATGTTTTGTAAGATTATCATGAAAAACGTTTCAGTGATTTTGTTTTTATTTTTACTCTACTGGGTTTTGTTGTATTTTTCTTCTCACCTTTAACTCCATTTTCTTTCCTCTTTTCTTTAGTAAAATTAGTTTTGGAATATTTATCATTTATTCATTTATATTTGTGTGTGACACTTCTCTAACTATTTTTGTAGAATTTATCATTTTCTCCAATAAATCATACCGTTCAAACCAAATAGTTTTCCCACAAAGGCAGAAAATTGAAAATTCCGATATAAAGATTTTCAAGTAAACCCTTTCAAGTACTTGACATAAGAAATTAAACTTAATATTGCAGAGAGAGTGAATTTATTTAGTGCTAGGATTTAAAATAAATGTCACAAATAAACAAAACAAACTCTTTATTCGCCACAAACTCTTATTTTCTTAATCCATAAGTCTTTGCAAAATTCGATATTTTAAACTTTGACTATTTGATCTAACGAATTCAAACATATGGTTGCAAAGGTATGAGATTAGAAAGTTAGAGTTTGTGACAAGTGTTAAATTCATTTGTAAAAAAATACAGCAATATTATAGCATTTCTACAAGCCACTCCCACAGGACCTTTACAAATAGTTAAAATATGTAACTATTAAGACTGGGCCATTGGTTTCCTTTATCAACCAATTTATACAACACTTTAAACTTCACAGAAGGAGAAGATCAAATTTATGCAACATTACTGGTAAGACTTTGTGACCCAGTTGCCAGTTTTGAGTTTACGCACAGGCTAAGAAAGAGCAAGTTTATCTGGTTAGATTTATACAGTTTTATATAAAACATATATGATGTCAATATTACTTGCAATTTGCTTTAATTAAACGTGACAATTTTAAAGCCCTGAATACATAGCATTTTTTTTGCAGAAATATGGTGGAATATCAGATTTAATTCATGGTTAGGCCCTATTTGTACCACGCATATTCATACCCGTATGGAAGAGTTTCTTGTATACACATACAGACACTCCTTTTATTTTTTCTTCTTCTATTTAACGGCATTGAGAGATTATAGGAAAATGAAATTTACAATATCTTACAAATATGAACAATTGAATATTTATATGTAGTTTAGTAAAAAGTGAAAATAACCAGCTTTTGAATTTAAAGTAAATATATATTTACATTTTCAGTATTGGTTCATTTGATTTTGGTATTTTTTCATTCTTAAAAGGTTGATTTTTCAATTTTCAATTGATTGGATCCATTGTCGGGGACAAATTGTAAAAATGTTAAGAACAATTTATTCCAAGATTTCTATTTCTATTTGTATTTGATGAATCACAAGTTCTCCAAGTTTAAACAAGTTTTTCAAATCACTCTTTAATGTTCTTCTTGATAAATTTGATATTGTTTTTCTTGTCAATTTTTATTTTTGAATTTCGAAAAGAACCCCCCCTCTATATTGTTTAGTTGGGGAAGTTTGTCACATCGAAAAAAAAAGTCAAAATGCAAAAATGCAAAATTGGCAAACAGAACTAGAAAATGGCATATACAGCAGAACCCATAAAAGTGTGAAAAAAGAAGGCGACATTTAAACAACCTGACATTTAAGCAACCTGACATTTAAACAACCTGACATTTAAGCAACCTGACATTTAAGCAATCTGACATTTAAGCAACCTGACATTTAAGCAACCTGACATTTAAGCAACCTGACGTGTATTTAATGTTGTCATAAAGTTAATAGTTTGTATGAATAGCTTGGATGGAAGTCAACTTATAATAGTAATAGGTCTGTGTAAACTGCACAGTGCACAATTGATTTGTTTCATGGTATTTGGACTTTTTTAAAGTTAAAACTTGAGTCGTCTCCCTACTACATAGAATTATATGCCTATGTGTGTCACAGCAGTAAAAATGGCGGATTGCAAAATGTCGGAACCACTGACTAAATGTTTTCTTTCTCAGGTTGGGAAAGGTTGCATGGAAGTGATGATGGTTGTACAACTGCAAAACATTCAGGTGTAAACTTAACATGAAATAAATGAGAATACTTTGCTTGTCTGTCTGGTTGTTTGTTTCCAATATACGCCAAAAACGGCTGATTCATTGGGCTCAAATATTGTGTGGGACCTGACATGACCCCAAGTCAGAATTATGAAAAAGGAGACTTCAAAAACTTTAGATTTTCGTAAAATTTTGAAAATCCATGAAAAAAATTGTAATTTTTATTATTGTTTTATCGAAGAGAAAATGCTGAATAATAAAAAGTTCGTGGATTTGTCTGCTTTCATTTGATTAGAATGCATATTTGTTTTGTAGGCAAATTTCTTAAAGTCTGACCTTCCATAAACCTTTGTTGGTGTTATGTAAGCCGTGAGGTCCCACAAAAAATGGGCCCAATCAGTTTGGACGTTGTTGCTAGGAAACAGTAACATATCTGCTATTCTTTAACTATCAATTGTTGCAATAAACAATTTGAATTTTTAATTCTAACTGTTAAAGTTTTAATTTTCTTAAAATTTTTGGAATTTTAAGTGTAAGCAGAGAAAATGCAAGAATATAGTAAACTGCGTCATAAAGTTGAAATATATTGTGATAAATCATATTTTGTTCAGTATTTCCAAAGTCCTGCAGTAGTGCTGAGGGTCTGGTGGATGGAGATATGAAAAGACAGTTATCCGTCTCATCAGACTCTAGGTAGGCATTTTACCTTAACATTCATTCATTCATTCACAGTCATTTCCAGTATTAATTCATTCTTCCAGTATTAATTCATTCTTTCATTTTCAATTCATTCTTCCAGCATCAATTCATTAACAGCAGCAATATATTCTCCCAGCATCAATTCATTCTTCCAGCATCAATTCAATCTTTCAGCATCAATTCATTCTTCCAGCATCAATTCATTCTTCCAGGATCAATTCATTCTTCCGGCTTTAATTCATTCTTCCAGCATCAATTCATTCTTCCGGCATCAATTCATTTTTCCAGCATCTATTCATTCTTCCAGCATCAATTCATTCTTCCGGCATCAATTCATTCTTCCGGCATCAATTCATTAACAGCAACAATATATTCTTCCAGCATTCATTATTTTAGCATTAATTTATTATTTTAGCATCAATTCATTATTTTAGCATCAATTTAATCTTCCGGCATCAATTCATTATCTTATTATTCACTCTTCCGCCGCAAATTCGTTTTTCTACAATCAATTTACTCTTCCGTGATGAATATTCGTTCATCATATATTCGATTATTCAACCTTAAATTAATCGGAAATATTTTTATATTCTGTCCTGAATGAATGAATCCTTGGCGTAGACAAAAACTTTTTCCTTGTAATGGTGTCTCCAGCCATACATTGGTCTGAAGGGTTATTAGTGTCAAACAAACAACCCTAACTTTAGAAACAATCCAGTGGATAATATCTGTACAGTGCAGAGTACAGTGGATAATATCTATACAGTGCAGAGCACAATGGATAATATCTATACAGTGCAGACCGTGCAGGGTACAGTGGATAATATCTATACAGTGCAGAGTACAGTGGATAATATCTATACAGTGCAGAGCACAGTGGATAATATCTATACAGTGCAGACCGTGCAGGGTACAGTGGATAATATCTATACAGTGCAGAGTACAATGGATAATATCTATGCAGTGCAGAGTACAGTGGATAATATCTATACAGTGCAGAATACAGTGGATAATATCTGTACAGTGCAGAGTACAGTGGATAATATCTATACAGTGCAGAGTACAGTGGATAATATCTATACAGTGCAAAGTACAGTGGATAATATATATACAGTGCAGAGTATATTGGATAATATCTTTACAGTGCAGAGTACAGTGGATAATATCTATATAGTGCAGAGTACAGTGGATAATATATATAACAGTGCAGAGTACAGTGGATACTATTTATAAAGTGTTAAGAATATATTGAAAAATATATATAACAGTGCAGTGTAGAGTAAAAGTTACTAGAAAACTGACATTGACAGTTTTTTTCTTTTATTTATGAAAATGCTTTAAATCAAAACTTTCTATCATGTTGTTGGAATTATTGAAAATATTAAATGATATTTCAGATTGCTGGACGAGGAGATCAAGAATGAGATGACTCGTGTTATTATGCGAGTTAAGAAACCCAGACGTCCAAAGTCAGAAGTTTTCCTTGACCAGGATGATAGGTTAGTTACTACTCCTACTCCTCATTTTGATCTAATACATAATAATCATCTTACTCATCCTACTCATCCTACTCATCCTACACATCCTACTCTTCCTACTCATCCTACTTTTCCTACTCAACCTTCTAATTCGGTTAATCCTACTTATACTGTTAACTCAACTTATCCTGTTAGTCCAGACATCCTACTCACCCTGCTCATCCTACACATCCCACTTATCCCACTCATCCTACTCATCCTGCTCGTTTGTTATCCCTCTCATCCTGATCATTTTAATCATCCCGCTCATCCAATTTAACTTATGTATTCTCATAATCCTATTCATCAAAACTGTCCTCTTCATCCTAGTCACCCTTCTCGTTCTGCTCATCCTTTTTTACCTAACCATCTTACTCATTTTACTCATCTAACTTTTTTTATTCATCTTACCTCTCTTGCTCATCCTAGTCATCCTATTCATCCCGCTCATCCAACCTTGACTCTTATCCAACACGTCCTACTCATCCTACGCATCCATCATGCTTATCCTACTTATCCTACTTTTTTCTCGTTTTATTCACCTGACTCATTCTACTTAAAATATTTTAGATTTTCATGACTTTGGGAGAAATTTAACCCAAATGGAATTTTGTAAATTGCCTTTTTTCTTTCTTTACTCAAGCTTCTCAAGCTCACATTTCCCATAGGATTCCTTGTATGTTTACAAACATTACTCGAATTTCTCCTAAAATCTTTTATTCCATGCTTCCACTTTTTTCACATTTCTTTGTGTATTTTCTTCTCGTTTTTCATCTTATTCTAAACATTTTTTAATCCTGCTCCGTTACCCAATTTTCTTTAGTTTCCCTTTCGAAGTGGATTTAAGTTTTCATGTTTAAGACCTTAAAAGTTTTCCATTCTACACGTTAAGCTCTGCATTAAGGAACATTTAATACTTTTCAGCGCTAATAAAGGATGTTATCAAAAGCTTTCTCTACCAAAAGATATGAAAATTATGGATTTCCCGCTAAATACGTTTTCATTTCCTTCCTTGTTTGATAATATCCGGGGTTTCGTCCAAATGGCAGGTTTAAATATGTATTTTCTTTCTTTCTCCTCCTTTCCATCTCCTATCCATATACCTCTCTATTTATATTCTCCTCCTATTCATCCTCTATATATACTCTCCTCCTATCTATTCTGTATATGCATATTCTCCTCCTATCCATCCTCTATATATACTCTCCTCCTATCTATTCTCTATATGCATATTCTCCTCCTATCCATCCTCTGTATATATTCTCCTCTTATCCATCACTCTAAACATATTCGCCTCCTATTCTTCATATCCATAGCGCTATGCGAGTTTTTTCTGTCTTACAATTCAGTCTTGATTCTTAAACACCCATATTCCAAAGTGAGTCGATTCTTGTATCTTCTTGTATATTCACAAACATTTATGTCCTTGATAAATACATTTTATGTGGAAAGAGTCAAGGAAAAGAGGATATATTGACAGTAAACTGAAAATTTAGATATCCTAGAATAGAGAAATTTAAATCTTTCATCTACATTCTTGGTAGAATTTTGCTTAAAACAATATGCTTCTGAAATTTCCAGATGTTCATTTCTAACTAAGTCCATTAACACATATTCCTCTCTTGAACACCAGAACTACATAATATAAATATATTAAATATTAAATATTATAATTCCTGGCTAGCTTGACACATACATGTATTTGTAAATGAATTCAAGATATACTTACTCTGCACATTTTGAATATAAGCATATATAACAAAAATATGAGATATCTAAAATAAATAAAAAATCTTGTATTTAGAAAACATCCGACTTCGTAAATTTAAGAAAAACTTTGGCCTATTTTTTGTGTTGCGAATTTTCATGTTTTAAAAATAAATTATGGCGTGAAAAATTCAAGTTTTGAAGGTAAACCTCACACAAAATTGTACATTTTTGATTCAGCCGTTTCGGCTAGATCTACAGTCAGAAATAAAACTTTAAAAAAAGATTATTTAGGCGAAGATCAAAGCGGTATTCAGCCTTTGGTGGAAACAGTCCGTTTGGAAAACTGGAAGCATATGTAAAGCTGGAGCAGCTCGGAGAAGGGTCCTACGCCACAGTATTTAAAGGAATTCACTCATAAAATTAATCTAAAATTATGAAACAAACTAAGAAGTTACTTTTAAATCAATTTTAATAAAGAACATACAAAAAGGATGAGAATTAAATGAGAACCAAAAGCCATATGACAATCTGAATGTTAGATTTGATTTTGTGTCTTCAGCAAAGTCTTAGAAGGGTTTACAAAATAGTTTGGTGAGGTAAAAAGCTAGTTTCTTACTGCAGGGAACCATACATGTAAGAAAAATGGCTCTATATTTCGTACACTGGTCTCTGAAGTCGCATCCTGTGTACATAATTGTAAAAGTAAAATAATGAATCCTTAATCATCTATAGCTTGCATAAGTACTAACCGTAACGTGAAACTAGGCAAAGCATTGTACAGTATCCATTGTCCAGTGACAGTGTCCAGTGTACAGTGTACAGTGTCCAGTGTTCAGTGTCCAGTGTACAGTGTACAGTGTACAGTGTCCAGTGTCCCGTGTACAGTGTCCAGTGTACAGTGTCCAGTGTCCAGCGTCCAGTGTACAGTGTCCAGTGTACAGTGTACAGTGTCCAGTGTTCAGTGTCCAGTGTACAGTGTCCAGTGTACAGTGTCCAGTGTCCAGCGTCCAGTGTCCAGTGTACAGTGTATAGTGTACAATGCTTGCTTTGGACATTTTTCACATTTTACAGAGTTATGAGAAAATATTTACTTCATACACACTTTGCTGAATTAAATAAAGATTATACATTTTTAGGGGTTTTAAACAGTACATTTTAAAAGTTGCAATGCCAGTTTTACCCGTACCACTTTAATGAATGATTTAATCTCCTTTGTATCTTTTCACTTGCGATTAAAAACAGTTCTAAATTCATTCTTAGAGCTTATTTTTGGTATATCTGATACGTCAATGAGAGCTTGAAAAATTATCTTTAAGATTAATAATTTCAATTAAATGAGTAAATGATCGTTTACGATCAATTTTAATTAAACAAGAAAGGAATATTATAATACATTATAATGAAGATATCGTTATTATATAATGGGTCTTAAAACACACTAAACTAGGATAGAAGGAGAAGGTTACATTTTTGTGACATGATTGGTACAACATAGTAACATCTTAGCTCCTCTAGTTCTGATTTTACCCACAAGTATGATGAAAGAAAAGTTATCCTATTACATATTATAAATTCAAAACATTTTTGTTCTTCTCAATATCTTGATAATAATAAACCAATAAAAAACCAAAGTTGGATAATTGTAAGAAATCTTGTTAGGTTATAAACAAATGATTCTGTAAATATGTTTTTTTTTTAATAAAAATATAAAAAATAAAGGTAAAATCATTTATTTGACATGCATGGCACACACGACACCTATATTTATATATTAGTCGCCGCTCTGCTTTTTATATAAAATTATGAGAAAGTCTATGAAACAGGGTACAGTAATCTGACGAAACAAGTTGTAGCTTTGAAGGAAATCAGGCTTCAAGAGGAGGAGGGTACACCATTTACAGCTATCAGGTAGTGTACTATATTCAGGAGGAGGAGGGTACACCATTTACAGCTATCAGGTAGTGTACTGTATACAGGAGAAGAGTACACCCTTTACAGATCAGCTATAACTATACAATATACCTATTCATACAGAAGGAGAAGGAAACTAACTGTTTACATCAATCTGATTTTACTTACTAAATAAAAAAAATTTAGCATATAATAGAAATATCCATGGATGAAGACGTAGCATAGCATTATATCATATTATATCATTTTTGTTTTGTATTGCAGAGAAGCCAGTCTACTGAAAGAACTCAAGCACGCCAATATCGTCACTCTTCATGATATCATTCACACCAAGTCCTCGCTGACCTTTGTCTTCGAGTTCGTTAACACAGATCTCTCTCAGGTATTATTTTAAAATGTTCAAACTTCAACTTATATACTATTATGTCTAGTATTTCTAGTATATTGGTATTGATTTGTTATTATTTTGCCTCTTGTATTTGTTCTTATTTTCATATTTGCTCTTTTAGATATTTTTTTGTCTGTTTAATTGTACCAATTATTTGAAATGTTATAAATAAATGTTCAATACCAATGTAACTAATCTGCTATGTATCTGTGGTATATTTAGTACCTGGAAAAGCATCCTGGAGGATTGATTGGAAAGAATGTGAAACTACTGATGTTCCAGTTGTTAAGAGGACTAGCATACTGTCATTGTAGGAGAATACTTCACAGGAATATGGTCATTCTTTCTTTTAAAAATATAGATATATGTAGATTGATTGATATAAAATAGATTTATATAAAGGAATTGAGTCATATTGCTACAAACTCAAATTTTCTAATCCCTTTATCCTTGCAACCTGATGGTGTAACCCTTTGATATTTTAAACTTAGATTATTTGATCGAACGGAATTAAACATTTTAAATATCTAAGGTCTTTGACATTGGATTGTAAAGATATAGGGATGATCAGAGTTTGCAGCAAAGACTATTTCTTTAAAAACTTAAAAATATATTTGGAGACTTGATTGATAATAAAGTAATGCTAGAAATTATATAATTAAATATATAAATAGTAAAAAATTACAGAAGAAAAAAATAATAATATTGATAGATTTAAATTATTAGATATATTGTTAGATAATTTAACATATTGATAGGTAGATAATTAAACATATTGATAGGTAGATAATCAGATATATTGATATGTAGATAATCAAACATATTGATAGTTAGATAATCAGATATATTGATAGGTAGGTAGATAATCAACCATATTGATAGTTAGGTAATACTGAATTTAAAGTTTATATATATATGTCTTCTTCTTCATATATTATTCAATAGTTTCTGGAATTTAGTAGAGTTTATAAACTTCCTAAACACACCAAACTTCGAACCAAGCTTCCCTTTGATCAAAGATATATTTTATACAACTGAACACAGATAATTTAAAAATTCTGAATAGCCTTCTAGTGGAATTTTAGAGACTGCTAGAATTTAATTTTTTCTCCCGAATCATTTGTCTTAATTTTTTTATTTTCCAGCATTCATATTTGAAATTTGTTTTTCAATAGACTGATAATTTACCTTTCATTCTGTCTTTAATCATCTAATTTAATTTTGATTTAATTACCTTTAATGTCACATTAATTTTATGTTTACCACACGGGCAGCCGTGGTACATTTAAATTTCCGAGCCGGGTCAACCTTTCCGGTACCAGTTTGTTCTGTATCGCCCGGATTGGTTAAATAAAGCAGACACTCAATGGGACTAGCCGGTGCAACAAGGTTGACGCGGTCAGATTTTAGGTTGAATTTACTTCTACTAAAGGGTCAGGGGTGCGTGACCGGCCTTTTTTTCAATTTTTCTTTCCATTGCAAAAGAATTGAATCTTTGACACAAACTCGATTTTCTAATTCCTATTTCTTGGCAACCCTATGTCGTAGATCTTAGCTATTTTGTTAGATGCAAAGTTATTTGGTTCAGAAATTTTAGTTTGTGGCAAAGTCAATTTCTTTATCTTGATTTTCGTTTTCTCCTTATTTGACTTCCTTAATACTTATGTTAAGATCTATTATTCTTGGTTTTAAAATAATTCTTTTCTTTATTTAAAAATCTCTAAACAATGTGGGCATTTTTGTATAAATTGAATATTATTTGAAAGAAATGTAGTTTTATACTTACATTTCTTTTATAATGTATAATGTATGATGAATATATCCAAAATGTAGACTAGCAGATAAAGATGACCAAACTGTAAACCAGGGACGTAAAACCACAGAATCTGCTCATCTCAGAAGCCGGAGAATTGAAGTTAGCAGACTTTGGTCTAGCCAGAGCAAAATCCGTTCCAAGTCACACTTACTCACACGAGGTCGTTACACTGTGGTAAGTCATAGTAAACGTTGTTGGGACATTTATTAACGTTTTATATATGATCGGACATATTTCGTATACAAAATGGCCTTGTTATGGGAATTCATGGATATGGCATCACATGGAAAGAAAAAAAGGAACTGAACACTTGACAAAAACTTTATATTTCTAATCCCAATATCTTTGCAACTTGATAGTGTAAACCTTTGATGTTTCTAAATATTTGATCTAAGATGATTCCCCATTTGAAATATAAAAGTCCACGACAGTGACGGGAAGTTTTTTAGTTCCTTTTATAATATATATGATAATATAGATATATAGAAATAAAGATAGGATAACTAAGGGGGAAGGGGAATTATCCCCTTATACATGCTCTAGGACATACATGGAGCAGCTTTTACTTTGGCTAAATTAGACTAATATTCTTATTGGAGTTTTTCTTATCTAATTACCTAGCTTTACATGAACGAATATAATTAGCTAGATGATAGTAAAGAAGTCATACTTGTAATTTAGTTAATTTCTCTCTACTAAAAACCCCCCAAATATAAAATATCATTTTAAATTATCTTTTAACGCACAATAGTTCTCAAGAATTTGTCAATACTTCTGACAAAACCTGTAATATATTTAATCCTAAAATATCTTGAGTCCAATAAATCATGAGAGAAGGGTCTGGAGAGTCTGGAAGACCAGAGAGAGGAAAAATGTGATTTATTTATCCCCCCAGATAAATAGGTCTCCAGAGATCAAGAGGTCAAGTATATAAACCAGTTAGTCCAGATTATATATAAAACTAGCTGCCCAGGTTTCTCTATAGTTACTCCCGCCGTTTACCCGCACTTAAATGATTTTACCGGGAAACTAAGTTTTCGCTATTAAAGTCAACCCACTCAATTTAGAATCTGAAAGCTAAGCTAAGAATATTTTCGTGAGTCTCCCGAGTTTCCCAATCAAAATTTGAGGCAAATCGGTTCAGGGGTTCCTGAGATATGATCGGCTTAAGAAACAAACAAACAAACAAAGAATATATAAAACTGTAGAATAAGTGAGCGAAGATAATAAAGGGGAAATAATTAAACACAGAATCTTTGTTGCATATTTTCAACGCTAGTTCATTTTTCTCCTGGTTTAAATGCATAACCAACCCATCAATTCGGAACCTCATCCCCTCTCGTAAAATCTGTATATACTTTAGAAATAAGAGACCTGAACTTTGTAACTCAATCTTCACAAAGGGGTTAGAAGACAAGGGGTTAAAAAAATACGTTTAGAAGATTATAGCTTTTTAATAGAACTGAGTCTTTGCCACAGACTCAAATTTTCGTAATTTTATGCCTTTACAATGCAACCTAATTGTGTAAATCTTAATAATTCAAGATTAGATTATTTGATCGCACAGACGTCATAGTTAGAAATATCAAAGTTCTATGACATTGGGTTGCTAAAATTTAGGGATTAAAAAATCAGAGTTTGTGGCAAAGACTAATTTCAATTTGCTCGAAAGTTGCACTTTACAGAGTTTTAAATTAAAACCCTAAACCAGAGATAAAAAAGTGGAATTATTCGTTATCCAGCATAGTATCCTGGATATTATAACCTACGTCAGCCCGAAAATCATATTCTGTAAATATATAAAATGAATATGTTAATAATCACAACATTAAATGTGTGGGAGGAAAGGATAAATAGAAAAGTATAAATCTGTGTATTCGTGTACAGTGGTCTGTGTCATTAAGGTTATATATTGCTTCCTTTCATTCTATATATACACACTTAAATATATATAGACATAGTTACACTTAGAGTTAAAGAAAACTAGCTAGCTAGTTTCTAAATAACTAAGAATTATCTACAAGTTAGTAAATAGCTTGCTATTAAGTCGATAGCTAGCTTGATGAAGGTAGATAATTATTAGTTGTTTGATAAATCTTGTAAGCCGGTCGTAACTAGCTTTTCATTTAATAGGTTGTAATTTGGGTAGTAGCAATTACTTTTCTTTGCCTTATTACCTTGCTTTATAGAAAACTTAATAAGTGATAGATAGATAGATAGCTATTTTCTTGATAGCTAGCACATATAATAAAGGAAGATAGCTATAGTTTGAAGACTGCTAGTTAGCTATTAACTTTTTAGTTATTTGGGAGAGCAGAGCTATTAGTTTGGTTCATAGTTGCCACAAAAAATTTTGCCCGATCAGTTCAACCGTTTTGACGTTTATTGAATAAAGACGACAAACAAACAGACATATAAGAAAATTATATAAATAGATATTCATTGTTATTTTTTTATTTATTTAGCAGACGTTAGGAGAAAACCGAATTTACTTACCAACCAAACTTGAAGTTATAAATAGCAAAATTGGGTTTTTCATCAGATCAATAGCAGAGTAAAATCCAGGAATTATACATTTAGCTATTAAGTAAGGTGTAGATACATGTTACTAGATACTAGCTAGGGAAGCTAGGCAGCAAAGTGCCATGATTTAGAATTAAGTATGTATGTTTGTATGATGAATAAGTATATGGAAAGACATCCATCAATAAGGTCTAAATAATTGATTTAATGAAAATATGTATATCTATGTATATATATATATATATATATATATATATATATATAGGTACTCTATTGAGAATGTTTAATATTTATGAAAATATAAAACGTAGAAAACAAATATGACAAAAATAAGTGAATACATTTATGTGAAAATTCTTATTCATATTTCATATTTGCTGTAGATTCTATCAACAAAGTAGGGGAAAAAATCAAAAAAAAGTTTTAAGATTTTATTTTCAAAATATGGATATGTCAACATTATTTTCTGGACAAAATTGTTAAATTTTCCTTGGGGTCATGTAGGGCCAATCGGTTTAGCCGTTTTCAAATTAAGGATACAAACAAAAAGACAGACAAGCAAAGCTTATATATAGATTCAATTTTTAATATTCAACAAAATACATTTTGATTCTTTATGTCATTTTATTTGTATTTAGTCATTACACAACTGTGCAGTGTGCCATGAAAAGATTATAAAAATATTGCTTTTCTAGTTTTTTTGTAAACTCAGTTTTTATGTCTATGTCAGCAAACTGAAGAAAACTTGAAATGCAAAATTTGAACAAACAAAAAATATGTTACACTAAATATATCTAGTATTTTAACATTTATAAACATTATTAACTAGCTGACCACTTTAAATATTGTGGGGATCTAGATAAAAACATAAAGGAAGAGAATACCTGTGGGGATATTTCAAACTTTGAATTCTGTGATATCAAATAATCGAATAAGTTTGAAATATCAACGGTTTACACCATTAGGTTATAAAGATATAGGGATTAAAATTTAAGTTTTGTGGCAAAGACTTAATTTCTTTTATTTTTAAATTTAGGTATCGTCCTCCTGACGTTCTTCTCGGACAAACAAACTACACAACAAGTCTAGGTATTAAAGTACACAACACTTCTACAGTATTAAACTACACAACACTTCTACAATATTAAACTACTCAACAAGTCTAGGTATTAAACTACACAACAAGTCTAGGTATTAAAGTACACAATACTTCTACAGTATTAAACTACACAACACTTCTACAGTATTAAACTACACAACAAGTCTAGGTATTAAACTACACAACAAGTCTAGGTATTAAAGTACACAACACTTCTACAGTATAAAACTACACAACACTTCTACAGTATTAAACTACACAACAAGTCCAGGTATTAAACTACACAACACTTCTACAGTGTAAAACTACACAACACTTCTACAGTATTAAACTAAACAACACTCCTACAGTATTAAACTACACAACAAGTCCAGGTATTAAAGTACACAACACTTCTACAGTATAAAACTACACAACACTTCTACAGTATTAAACTACACAACAAGTCTAGGTATTAAACTACACAACACTTCTACAGTATAAAACTACACAGCACTTCTACAGTATTAAACTAAACAACACTCCTACAGTATGAAACTACACTACAAGTCTAGGTATTAAACTACACAAAACTTCTACAGTATAAAACTACACAACAAGTCTAGGTATTAAAGTACACAACAAGTCTAGGTATTAAACTACACAACACTTCTACAGTATAAAACTACACAACACTTCTACAGTATTAAACTACACAAAAAGTCTAGGTATTAAACTGCACAACAAGTCTACAGTATTAAACTACACAACAAGCCTAAGTATTAAAGTACACAACAAGTCTAGGTAATAACTATACAACAAGTCTAAGTATTAAACTTCACAACACTTCCACACATTCCTGTATGCCGATTTCATTAGCACCTGATCCAATCAAGGTTCAGTCAAGTGTTTGATGTTTATTCTACACCAATAGAAATAGTATGGCGGTAACATCTCTCTTTCTATTTATCTCATTATCCAATTAGAGTTCTGATATCAGTAAATGGAAATTTTTACATCTACTGAAACTATGGTGCACAGTTTTAAACTACTCAACACTTCTACAATATTAAACTACACAACACTTCTACAGTATTAAACTACACAACACTTCTACAATATTAAACTACATAGCAACTTTAGGTATTAAACTACACAACAAGTTTAGGTATTAAACTACACAACACTTCTACAGTATTAAACTACACAACACTTCCAAAGTATTAAACTACACAAAACTTCTACAGTATTAAACTACACAACACTGCTATAGTATTAAACTACACAACACTGCTATAGTATGAAACTACACAACACTTCTATAGTATGAAACTACAGAACACTTCTATTTGTATATTTAGATATCTGGGGTGCTGGCTGTATATTTGTGGAGATGATAAACGGCTATCCCTGCTTCCCTGGGGTTAGAGATGTTTTTGATCAGTTGGATAAAATATTCAGGCAATATATTTGAATTTAAAAAAATAGATATTTAATAATTAAAAAATATTCAAGCGGTTTTTTTAACGAGGAGGCACAATACACACTAAACAGTTACCTTGAACTCAAACTTTCTAAATATTTTGTCTTCACAACCTAATATCGCAGATCAATGTCATTTCAAAATATTAATTTTGCTAGGTCAAATAGTTTTAGTTTAAAATGTCTAAGTTTTACACCATCAGGTTGCAAATATATACGGATTAGAAAATTAGAGCGTTCAGGCCATTTTTGGGGAAATATTGAAATATTTGTTCACAGAGAATAAGAATAATGAGATTTTACAAGAATATTTCGCATACATTTCATACAAATGGATCAGAACAAGTTTTGATTGATCCTTACTAGTTCTCAGCTGTTAACTTTTGAATGAACGGAACTAATTAGAGTTTCGTTTGAACCGATTTAAATTAGTTCCGGTCATTAAACAGTCATCAGGTATAATTTAATGTTTTAATTTCCGATTGATGAAAACCGTAATTGATAAATTTGAATATAATGTGTTACAGAGTGACTGGTACTCCTACTGAGGAAGTATGGCCTGGAGTCTCTAGTTTACCAAACTACAAGCTTCATAAACTCTGCTACTATAAGGTAGAGTAAAGGGAGAGATTACGGTATTAGTAAAAAGGATTAAAGAACAAAATTAAACGACAGTCAGGACTTCGTGTGTTGGCCAGGTGTGCGATGAACAGCCCTGAGTTTGTTCTGCAAAACAGTATGATAATATTCACGTTTATGGGATCTCATCTGCTCAGGATGAACTCTAAGCACAGTTACAAGATTGCTTGTGAGATTAAGAGACAGAAAACCTCCCTAGATATTCACAACAGTTTTATCAATGCTGAGACGGATGTGACGGAACACAGATATACAGAGTTTATTTATAAACTCGTCAGAGCATTAGGTATTGATACTTACTTGTGGATAGCTATGGTTCTGAGTGTTAAAGCAAGAGCAAATTCTAAGACCAGGAGTCTTCAGACTGAACTTACTCACAGACGACGGACAGATTTACTGGGACTTGTTACAGTATCTTAATCATGACTATTCGTATGCAAATATATAAATAAATATGATATTTTGTAAAAAAAGATGTTCAAAATTTGCAATTCAGAACTTAGACAAGACCAGACAAATGTACATACTAGTTGTAAAAAAAGTGATTCACATATGAAAAATGAACACTTTCTTTATTTAGCAAAACATGGCAATGATTAAAAAAAAATATGATCAATTGCAGAACCAGAGACTGGGTCAGGTGTGGCCTCGTCTTCATGAAATACCGTTTGCTGAATCCCTTGGCAACCTCCTTCTTCAACCTAGAGCAAACAAACGATTAGGGGCAGAACAGGCACTTAGGCACAGGTAGTCTTACTTGAACACAGGCAGTCTTACTTAGGCACGGGTAGTCTTACTTGGGCACGGGTAGTCTTCTTTGAACATAGGTAGTCTTACTTGAACAGTGATATTCTTACTTAGGCACGGGTAGTCTTACTTGAACACAGGTAGTATTATTTGAACTCAGGTAATCTTACTTATGCAGAGATAGTCTTATTAAGGCACAGGCAGTCTTACTTGGGAACAAGTAGTCTTACTCAGGCACAGGTAGTTATACTCAGGTACAGGTAGTCTTACTCAGGTACAGGCAGTCTTACTCAGGTACAGGTAGTCTTACGCAGTTAAAGGTAGTCTTACTTAAGCACAGGTAGTCTTGCTCAGGTAAAGATAGTCTTTATAGCAATCAAAGTAATATAAATGAGTTATTTGGGAGTTCAGTTAAAGTGATTCATCGCATTACTTTCCGTTAAAATCTGTGCAAAAATACAAAAATACAAAAGGCTAGTATAGCTAGTAAAGAATTGAGTTTTTGCAACAAACTCTGATTTTATACTCCCTATATCTATTGCAACCTAATGTCGTAAATTAAGTTGGAAAACTGCAAGTAAATATTAAATCGTAAGCGTAACGTGACCCCTTTAATAGAATTGTTTAAATGTTTAATTTCCTTCGTGCAGCGCTTAGCCCATAATCTGTAAAGATAAATCCGACTCTAATGTAATTCGTATTGTAAATTTAGTTACTAAACGTTTACTGACTTTGCTAAATTTGTCAATTTCTAAAACATTTTTGTTTCAGAAAATTAATTTTGTTATTTGAGATAAAATATTACTGAGCAGTAAAGCTTGAGGGAAGCATTTCCATTCCTTCAGTTCATTACACAGCTATTCATCTCCAACCCTCTTACAGAACCATTTTCTAATACCAAGACAGGAGATAACATACACAACGTAAAAAGCCTAATTTTGAATTGTCCCTGTAAAATTTCAATGTTTTTTTTTTCTCCATGCATATTAAAATAAAAGATTAATATTTATGATAAAATCGAAATTTTTTTTTCAAAATTTTTGTTTTCCACGGGCAACGCTAGGCCACCAGATAGTCCTTCATATTATCGATAAGATTAAGGTTTTAACTTGACAAATTTAGCAAAGTCAATAAAAGTTAAGTAAATAAATGTACATTGCAAATGAAAATAAACAGTTTTCAAAACAAAAATAAATATCTAATGAACTTGTCTAATTCCAAAAAGTAAAACGTTAACAGCAAAATTTAACTGTATAATTAAAAAATAAGTTAACAATCTCTTTATAGTACATAGCAAACATAGAACTTTTAATGAAAGTATGGCTTATTTTTTCGGATCATTTTAATTGCGCCATTTGCTAGCCATGATGAGCTGGGATCATAGCAGTGTCGATCGAGATGTATTTTTCGGATGTATATTTCACAGGATTAAATCCTGGGTACTATTTACTATTGTAGAAATAGTTATTATTAAACATCTAAATTTTGGAGATATTTTAAGATGAGTTATTTATTGAAATGTTTTAGATTCTTTAGTGATTTACCGGCTAAACTACTCGATCTAACTGATGACCAGCACATTTATGCTGTTCCAGGTAAAATTTTATTATAAAACCAACGGTTGTAAAATTTATCATTATTTTTTATAAAGTAAGTGTAACAATGTTTTTTATATAAAATTTGACATAAAACTCCTTTCTCAAAGCATTTTGAAAGAAAGTGTTCACATTTAATTAAACTTGATTCTTCATTTGTGTGATTTTAAAACTTAGTTAAATGAGAGTGATTTGTGATTAGAGCTCACAACTTATCAATTTTGTAATTTTTTAAACGTCTTGGTTGGCCTCTTATGAAAAGTTGGGTTTCAAAATCTATAAAATAGCTTCATTGTTACCAATATTTCTATTTTCAAGGAGTCAAGTTTCATCATGAAGAGCAGAGATACTCCGTCCTAAAAGCAGCAGCAGCAGAGCTCAGAAGTCGTCACCGGTAATAGTATTCTTATGACAACCAGGGTATTTGCAGCTCAAGAGTCAAGACAGACAGGATAGCTGGGCTCAAGAGTCGGGACAGACAGGATAACTGGGCTCAAGAGTCGGGACAAATAGGATAGCTGGGCTCAAGAGTCGGGACAGACAGGATAGCTGGGCTCAAGAGTCGGGACAAATAGGGAAATTAAGCTTATTATCTTCAGCTAAGAAAGAAAGAGCTTATTCAAAAACCCGAGTTAAAAAGGGAGGTTTTTAATCGCCGAGTTAAAAAGGGAGGTTTTTAATCTCAGTGACAACTGAGACTTTACTTGTGATATCTCTGGATCTAAATAATTTTAGTGTTAATCTGAATATCTTTTTGTAGACAGGTTTATTTTTAGAGAAAGATAATTATTGATTAATTCATTCTCTGCTGTTTGCTCTCAGTATTTTTTTAAACATTTAATTGAAACTAACAAGGAAGATCAAATTCAATTTTCATTACTGTTACGACTTTGTGACCCCGTTGCTCGTCAATGTATAATTTTACCCACAAGTGCAAGAAAAGCAAATTTATTCAGTTACAAATTACATCTTAAGAAATCAAAACGTTTTTGTTCTTCTCAATATCTCTCCAATAAAAGGAGTTAAATGACAAAAAGCATTTACAATTTTAATGTTATTTGCATTTTACTTTAGTTTAACGTGTTAATTCAATAATCGTAATTTCTAATTTTCTCTTCCATATGTATACACAGTTTTTTAGTTTAAAATGAGTGCAATACATAAATACCAGAATAACTATGTGTCATGCATGTATTAAATATATATATGTTAAATAAAATGAAATAATTTGCTCAAAAGCGGCATTTATAGATTTATGTAATATTGTTAAATTTAAACATCTTGAAAGGCGTCCATTATACTTACAGGGTTACTCATATAAACGGAGACTTCGGTCTTTTTGAGTCTTAGATATTTATCAAGGTCTCTGTAACCCTGTAAATTGTAAATTAGTTAATAATATGTAAATCAATAACTTTTGTAATATCGTTGTAAATGTGAAACTACTGTCCTTTAATTCAAAACTATTCTAAAATGCGAAACCTAGAATGATAGATAGTCTTTCAGTAAGTTTTGTTAAATAATTTTAAGAATCTAGTCTTTAAACATGGTCTCTTCTTGGCATTTTTTCATATTTTCTGCCAAAATTATATTAAAACTATTTTAATGATGCTTTATCTAGTTAGTTAAATAAACAATTCAAAACTAGTAAATTAAACCCTCATTTATTAAGGGTTTTCCTTGTTTTACTACGTAAATTCTTTTTCAGAAATAGTAAAATAAAAAATAAATAAAAATAAAAAAATATTCTCAAAAATAAAAATTTGCAAGAATGCCAGGGGTAAAGGACAACTTAATTAGTATTCTCTAGATGATATTTTTCATTAAAAATACTCTTTCAGAACATTTGCCAAAAAATGAACGAGTATTTTAGGATTGTTGAAAATTCCAGTCTTATCATTTTCATTCAGTTTTCTGATGATATTTTCTTTATCAAATTCCCCTTAGCATTACTAAGATCTCATAGATTTATAGAAATAGTTCAATTAAAGTGCGAAATAAATATTCTTCTCATAAAACCAAGCGTATTTATTTATCCATCCTATTCCTGTTTGAAATATTTGTTTAAGAAATTTGTTATTAAATAATAAAGTAAGAATTTTTTTGTGATCTAAGCCATATTTCATATATATTAAATTGTTGTAAACAAATTATTGATTAAAAAATACATTTGATGTTTGTAAGCTATCTCTGTTTTTTACGAGGCAATTTTTTAGATTACTATTTATTTATTTCTTATTTTTCAAATCAATGTTAAGTGATTTTAGGTGGTTGTAATTGATAAGTTTCACATCATTTTTTATCTTGAAACAAACAAAAACTATAAAGATACACGTTTTCAAATTTATTAAATTCCAATCATTGAAAAGAATGAACCAATAGTTATTTGAAAGGAATTGAGTTTTTGCCACACATTCTAATCCCTATGTCTTTGGAACCTAAATTTGTAATTTTGTTAGATCAAGTAGTCTAAGTTTGAAATATCAAAGATTTACACCATCATGTTTAAAAGAAATAGTGATTAGAACATTTGAGTTTGTGACAAAAAGGGTGCATTTAATGATTTAACACGTGAAAGAAAATGAAATTTACAACATCAAGAATGAAAAGGATAAAATAATTACGTTTCTGGACTGAGGGCTTAATCTAGGATTGGCTAGGGGACCAGGAGGAGGAGCTGTGGCCATATAGTCAGTGTTAAAATAATGTCAGCCAACATTTTGGGTTATGATAGGTATATCACACTAAACTAAGCTTGTGGGGTAGATAAAATAGGCCTATGATATGCCGGGTACTGTAAAAAGGCTTGACCCGTCATCAAAGTTAAAATCAGTCCTACGGAGGATAGGGGGGGGGGCGGTTCTTGTCGTGCGTCAATAAGGCAGGTTCAAGGGGTCGCGGTCCTGTCCAGTAACACTATCCCTAGTTCGCAAATGCCTGGTTCCCAATGCTTATATCTAACTATGCCTAGTTCGTAAGGCCTAGATAACATGCCTATATTTCCGAAAGTCTTGATAACATTATGCCTAGATTTCATAATGTCTAGTGACCCAATGCCTAGATAACATTAGAGTGAATTAAATGCCTAGACATGTTCAAGCATGAGCAATAAAAGATACATATTTTATTTAGGCAAACATTTTATTGGTAAAACTTTTGCCTATCATTTGCCTATCAACACTTCAACACTTCAACACTTCAACACTTCAACACTTCAACACTTCAACACTTTAACACTTCAACACTTCAACACTTCAACACTTCAACACTTCAACACTTCAACACTTTAACACTTTAACACTTCAACACTTCAACACTTCAACACTTCAACACTTTAACACTTTAACACTTCAACACTTTAACACTTCAGAACTTCAAAACTTCAAAACTTCAAAACTGGAAAACTTCAAAACTCCTAAACTCCATATAACTTCATGAATAAAAACAAAAACATTTAAAAATCTAATTTTTTATTATTTCAGTCAAAAAAAATGTCTGCTATTACAAATATCAAAGGATGCAATTAAGAATTTGAATCTTTCACATCTCTCTTGAATGTTCTTGGTTTGTTATGGTTGGGTGTATTGGTATGTATGTATTGCTGTATCAATTTAGAAGAGACAAAAAAAATGGTCGCATTAATCTAGGTTTCGTTACAACCCGAATACAGGATTAGTACATGAATATTTAAAAATATGTCTGCACAGCATAAACTGGTTTTATATCACGCCCAGTGGTAGTGGTATTGATAGTTTATGGGATTGAACCGTGTGGATTGTGTCCTGGTTGAGTTTGATAGCGGACGGGTTGTACCTGGACTGATACAGTTTGGGACGAAGTTTTAAGAGTATGGTATTTACTACAGGCATTCATAAACTAGACATTTACGAACTAGCATAATGTTACTGAGCCATTCAAATTGACCCTATAGTTCACCGTGATATAGAATTCTAATAGAGAAAGCGCTGCTGGTAAGACAGGCTTGCGGCTAGGATAGGCTATAGGGCCGAGTGCTGCAATCCCCTTAATGTAAACTAACATTTTTGATTAATTGTGTGTCAGGACAAGTTCCTTTCAAACAAAGGAATTAATTCTTTGGCAAAAACTCTGATTTACTAATCCCTATATCTATGCAACCAAATATCATAGACCAGTAAAATTCAAGTTTACACCATCAAGTTGCGAAGATATAGGGTTGGCAAATACTCAATTCCTGTAATGAATAGTTTTTAAAGGTCCAACAAATAATTAGGGATTGATATAAGCGTGTATTATAAGTCGAGCACCAGACTTTAAAACATTTATCCTTCACCTCCCCCCCTCCTCCTCATGGTCCCTTCTGCATGGTCTCGTTTTTACCTCCCCCCCTCCTCCTCATGGTCCCTTCTGCATGGTCTCGTTTTTCTGCTTGTTCTTGAAATTCTTGAAATTTTCAGCATCTTTTAAAACGCATCGTGTGACATAATAAGCTCAAAAAAACCGTAGAAAATCTTATGATTTTATAGCTTTTTTAATTCAAGTTAAAACGAAATATAAGATCTAAATATTTATACTATTTAAAAACTCAATAATGATAAACTGTAAAAAATTGGCTTCATAATTTGATTCACATGTAATATGATTGAATAAGAAATATTCATATTAATTTTTCTGAAATTTTTCATACAATGTACTATTTACCCTTTTTAAATAGATATAAAAATAAATGTTAAGACTTTATCTAATGGTGAATAAAAAAAGAGAAATATGCTTTCACAGCACTTTTTGGAACAAAGAAGTTTGCATTATAAAAGCTGATTAATGAATTTTAAACAGCAGATCAAATCTACTTGTTGAGGCAACAAGATGAGATCTCTCTCAGTCCTCTTCCTAATTGGGTGTGTAGCTTCTGGCTATATTCAGCCCCATGGGTGGACTCATTCTCAAGAGTATAGATATAAATACTCTTCCCAAGTTCTTACTGGGATTAAAGAGCTTAATAGCCAATATTCTGGTGTTAGGCTTTTTGCTCAAGTTCGAATTCAGCCTAGACAAGATTCTACCTGCAGAATTCAGCTTGATAACCCAAGATTTGTCAGCTATAATGATATTCTTGAGTGGAGTCAGGATAGACTTGTTTCCTCTGGTAATGAGGAAAATATACCTAGCAACATCAAAACTTGGCTGAAAACTCCTTTCACCGTTTTCCACAAGAGGGGATTAGTTGAAAAGATTCAAACTGAAAATGGAGAACCTGAATTCATTGTTAACATGAAAAAGGCTCTTGTCTCAAAACTTCAGTATGATCTGTCCAATGTTGATTCTCAAAATGTTCAAGGACAAAACAACCAAGTTCAGAGAGGAAACCAGGTTGAGTCTCTTCCCATTTTTAAAAACCAAGAATCATCTGTCCTGGGAAAATGTGAAACTGTATATGCAATTAACAAGCTGCCTTCCTACTTAGTCAAAGAATTTGAAGATGCTGAAAACAAAAGACCCATTCAACAGGCTTCTGATGCTGGAAATGATCATTCTGACAATCAGAATGCTGGATCAAAGGCTTGTGAAGGAAAGGAGTATTTTGAAATCATCAAGACTAAAAATCTTGACATGTGCTCAGATCGCCCAGTTTTCCATAAGAGCTATGGTATCTGGTCTAAGACTGATGGATCTGGAGCTTCTTCTTATCCTTCTTCCTCTTCTCATATCAGAACTATTATCTGTGGATCCCTTCAAGATTACATCATTCGCAAGGTTGTCTCTGAAAACAAAATCATTTCCAGTGCTTCTGGAAGGTATGAAAGCAATGAGAAATTGAGCATTACATCTTTCTCTACCCTTGATCTTGAATCTGTTGATTCAGTCAGAGATGAAATTTCTGAGCCATCTTCACCCAAAGGATATCCATCTTTGGTTTTTGAATATCCCTCTGGAAGTTCAGCAAGCAGCAAATCAATGAGACAAGAACAGAAGCAACAGCAAGGACAGCAAAGTCAGCAATCTGGACAACAACAGGGACAACAAACTCAGTTTGAAGATTCCTTAGAAAAACATGCTCCTATTCCAGATATGACATCAGCTCCAAAGCACTTCATCCCAAGACCTGAAGACCAAAGAGATTTAAAACAAAATGTTGTTGATCTCTTTGCAGAAATCATTGAGTCTGCCGAGCAGATGAATGAAAGCTCAAAGAAAGATAAGGATGTTGCTGCTCTTTCAGTTCTTGCTTCCAGAGCTCTCAGCCAACTTAGCTATAATGAGTTGAAAGAAGTTGAAAGTAATATTCGGGCACAGTATGGAAATGGACGATATGAAGTTGTGATTCAAAAGGTTTTCTTTGACCTCATTTCAATGGTTGCCACCAACCCTTGCATGAAATTGATCAAGGACAAAGTTGTTTCAGGAGAAATCAATCAAGATCCAGCATCCTGGTCCTGGATTCTCTCTAATGCTTTGAGATCTGTAAAAACACCTACTGAGGAGCTTCTCGGAGAATTGGTTGACCTTTTGAAGACAGAAAATATTCAAAAGAACAGAGTTGTCAGAGCTGCTTATGCAATGGGACTTACTCAACTAATTAACAAGGCTTGTGTCGATTCTCAGAGCATAAGGAATAATTTCCCATACAAAATCTATGGACAATTCTGCAACAAAGATATGAATGTCATCAAGAACAACCTTGTTCCATACCTTGCTCAGAAACTTCAAGAATCTTCTAAAGATGACTTATCTACTCTCCTCACATATGTAAATGCTCTTGGAAATTTAAACATTGAAGAATCCACAATAGAACTCCTCAAAGTGGTTGAAGGAAGACTTTCTAGTCCCAGCCATCCAAGAGCTGTTGCTATTTATAAACTTATTAATGCTGCCATGAACAATCCCAGCGTCTACAGACCTGTTTTCAAATCTATTATTGAGAATGTTGCTGAGACTCCTGAGGTTAGGATTGCTGCTATTACTGCTTTGACTTATAGTTCTCCCACTACTGCTGATCTTCAGAAATTGGCTATCAGAACTTGGTTTGAACCTTCCAGACAGGTTTCTAGTTACATTTACTCAACCCTGAAAATGCTGAGCCAACTTCAAGGATCTTTGCCTGAGCTTGAATTAATCAAGGAAAAGGCATCTACCACTCTTTCCCTTGCTAAACCCAGCAAGGAAGGATACCAAAACTCTCGTAATATGCACTTTACCCGTTTAGTCGAAAGCCTTCGTTCTTCAGTTCATCACAAAGTTCAATGGGTCTCCTCAGAAGAATCTTTCTTTCCTAAATCTATCCATGCCAAGGCTGAAATGAGAGGACAAGACAGTAATGTTGAGGCTGTAGAAGCTAACTTGTATATGCAAGGAGTTGAGAATGTCATTGAGAAGCTCCAAGATTTGTATGAAAACCTTAAGGTTCACAGCAACAACCAACAATCTGAATTGAACAATAACAAAAGGGAAACCCAAGAAAAGATGAGACAGCTTAACATTCAAGACAGAGAATATAAGAAACCGGAGGCTCACTTGACTCTGAAGTTCATGGGACTTCAAAAGTTGTACTCCCTGGATGATAAAATGGTTGCTGATATTGCACAAAAAATTTCTTCTGGTATCCTGGAACAAGGTTCACAACTTGAGCAGGAGTTGAAAGGAGAATACATGAAGATTATTGATCTTAATGGAGCTGATTATGCATTCCCAACTGAATCTGGAATGCCTGCATTCATTTCCAGGAGAAACCCTACTGTTGCATATAGCAAATTCCAAATGAGAGCAGAAAGAGTTTCTGGAGGAAGACCAAAAGTTGACTTGAAGGTGAAAGGTGTTACCAACTACATGAGACAGGTTGTTGCTGGTGTTGTGTCTCCCATTACTCAAAAGTTCCATGTTGCTGCAGTTGAAACTTCTGTACATGTTGCCGTACCTTTGATTGCTGAAGTTTCTTATAGATCAAATGGCCAAGTACAAGTTTCCATCAAAAACTCTGAGGAGCCAGAATTCCAGAGAGAAAAAACTCTCTTTGAGTTTGATGTCCACCCATACACCACTTCTCATAGTCTTTCTGAGCTCAAGCCACTTGTAAAGGGCAGTGAAAGGAAAACAATTAATAGCAGACATGCTGAAAAACAGGTAACTTTTTATCTGATTAACTTTTATTTCCCACAATCAAAAAATAAATTATTATTTAGAGAGAACTGAATATTGGAAAACCTTTTGGACTTGATGCCAAGATTCAGGTCAGGACTGAACAATCGGGAATTGACCTTTACAAGCTCTGGGATGATCTGAAGGTTAATGTTCCAATGTTCCTTGGATCTCTACCCAATCCTGTTACATCTAGCAAGAGAACCACAATTGTCATCAGCCACAATCCCCAAAACTCTGAAGTCAAGCAATTGGACTTTTCACTCAATATTGGTAAGCAACAAATATTGAATTAAAAGTTAAAACTCAATTATTTAATGAATTACATTTTTAATAGGAATTGCTTCCAAGGAAGGAATATACCAGCAAACTCAGATTAAAGGAGTTCAATCATTTGACCAAGAAGGAGAAATTCAAAGAATCTGCTCTGAACAGGCATCTAATCAAGACCAAAATACCTGCCAAGAACAGCTGAGACAAAGCATCCAATCTCCTGAAGCTGAAATTGTCAAAACATGCCAAGATCTAAAAAATCTTGAGAACCAGAGACAGCAACAGCAACAGCTGATGCAACAACAACAACAGCAACAGAAACAGAAGATCCAACAAGCTCACCAACAACAACTGAATCAAGCAAATCAACAAGCCGAACAAGAACAGCAACAACAAGAACAGCAGCTAAAACAACAACAGCAACAGCAGCAGCAAGAACAACTTTTCAGCCAATGTAAGGCAGAAAGACAGCTTTGCAAAGAGGAAAGAAAGCGTTGCAATCAAGAGCAACAACAAAGAGGCCGAGACAAGCACAACTGTCAGGTTATTGAAGACCTTTGCAATCAAAGACAGAAATCAAGACAGGCCCTTCGCAAAGTTCTTCAAAAACTGGAAACTGGAAATGCCATCACTATTTCAATGGACACTGTCCTAAGAGGTAACCAGGCATCTCAAAACAGAAAGTTGCAGACCAGAGTCACAATCGGAGAGAAGAAAACCCAAGGAAGATCTGAGGTAACTCAAGTTACCATGAAGATGTCCCTGAAGACTCCAAATATGAGACAACCCCTAGATGCCCAGGTCCAAGCAAATGGCCAGATCAGAAGACCAGCTCAGAAATGGAATAATGATGAAATTCTTGCAGAAGACAAATCTGCTAAAATTCTTATTAACGCTGATTATGGAATGAGAGGAGAAGAAATCAAGACAATCAAAGCATCTATTATTGCATTCCAGTCTGACAGACAAAAGGATTTTGTTAAGGAATCTGATGAGTACAAGAGATGTTCTCAAGATGAGTCCCAGGGTAGAAAACTGACCAAGAGTTGCAAGGAAACAAGACATCATGCTGCTTCCCTTGACATGGTTCATGCTAAATTGTCTCTTCCAAAAACAATTGCTGAAAACAGATATACTGAGATGGTTACTGATCTTGCAAAGATCTACTATCTCCCTCTTCTATCACAGAAAAGCATTGATAACAGACAATCTGGTGATCATAAGGAATATGAAGTTGAAGTTGATGTGTCAGGGAATGGAGAACTTTTGTCTGCTAAGATTTCTGGAAACGGTGAAGAAGTTAGAGTAAAAAATGTTCGTCTTGGAAGTGCTGCCAAGGGCCTGCTCCCTATCTGTACTAAAGATACATTGGCTACCAGAGTTCTTCAGAAAGCGACTTCATTCAATGCTCCCAGCTCTTGTGTTCTTGAGAATCGCAAGGTTAAAACATTTGACAAAATGGAATATGATTTCTCTATCAATGACTGTGAGCATGTTGTATTCACAGAAACATCATCAAGACCCAAGATCACAGTTTCCACCAAGCAGACTCCTGAAAAGCAACTAGTGATTATGGTTGTTGATGGGCACAAGTATGAAGTTGAGATCAAAAAGCAATCTAGACATTCTAGAGAAAACAAAGCTATTGTCAGAGTAAACGGACAAGAAAAGCAGTGGGCTTCTCCAGAACAGCAAAGGCAACAACAACAAGAAGAACAACAACAGCAAAAGCAAGAGCAGCAACAATTGCAGCAGCTCCAGCAACAACAAAATTCCCAGCAACAAAACCAACAATTGCAAAAACTCCAACAACTTCAGAAGCAACAAGCACAAGCACAAAAACAACAATTCCAAGATCTGAAACAAAATGTCTATGATGACCAAGACACTTATGTAGTCAACTTCAAGGATGGAGTCTACTCCATTGTTTCCAAGAAGTATGGAGTTTCTGTTTTAGCTGATGGAGAAAGAATGGAAGTCAAGAGCTACCAACATTTCCTCAGAAATAGAGTCACTGGTCTTTGCGGAGATATGAATGGTGAAAAGACTGCAGATCTCAAATCGTCTAAGAAATGCGTCATGTCTGAACCTAAGCTTTCAGCTCTTACTTTCATGCTTGAAGATGGAAAATGCAGAGGTCTCTTAGAACAAGACAAAGTTGAACTTAGAAGACAAGAACAGGGATGTGTCAGAAGGGAAGAGAACCCTACTAAAGTGTCTGATATCTTCAGAAAATCTCTTGAATCAAAGAGGCAACCAGAACTTCGTCACATTGTTGAACAAACTAGAGGAAAGACCTGTATTTCTAAGGAATTGGTCAGAGTCTGCAATACCAATTATCCATCTGAGGTCAGAGCTAAACAAGCAAGATTTGCTTGCCTGGAAAGTTCCCAAAACGAGGTTTTGAGAAGACGTGCTATTGCTGGGGACCAAGTTGAGGAGCTAGAGAGACTTCCCACTCAGTATACCCAAACTGTCTATGAATCTAAACAGTGTTAAATATCTCTATTTGAGATGAGTTGAGTTTTCTAATTAGAAATAAACTGCATTTTTGATTTGTTTGTTTTTTCTTGGTTTTGAGTTTGATTGAGGTCAACTAGAATTATGACTTTGTCCACAAAAATCCTGAATTCGTCTAACATATACAGCAGCAAATGAATTGTATGAAAATTTATATTTCAAGTAACAAAGCATTTTAATGCTTGTATTGGTCCCTGGTAAAACAATTCTTTTTATGGATAGCTAGTTGTTTACTTTTGGAAGGTAAAGCTTAAGGTATATAAAAGACGTTACAATTAAAAACTTTCATGATGGACACAATTTTAGATTTATGTTAAACATAAATGAATAAAATGCATTGTTCAGCAATGCAAACTTAAGATAGAGTGGTAAAATGCAGGTCTATCAGATTTTGGAGATTTTGCATGTCCACATTTCACTGAGGAGTTCTGCTGATAGTTGCAGAAAGAACAGGCTTGCAAAGTTTTCTCAGGTTCTAGATCTCAACAGGTTCTGCAGCAGTATTGGTAGAGATGAGAGTGTTAGTTTTTTTTCAAGTTGCAGTTCATTGTTTGTTAACAACCCATTTTGTTTTTGTTATTTTGGTATTTAAGTTTTTTGTTTGATTTCTGAATCATTGTTAATTTTTCAACTATTTTGTTTGTTTTTTTACTGAACGCTTGTTTAATAAAAACGTATGTTTAGTAAAAGGTTAGGTAAGGCTGGATTCCCCCCCAAAAAATTCACAAACAATTTTAAATCATTTGTGACTGATCACGTTTTATAAAACACAATTTAGAAATCGTTCAATAAATGTATGACTGATCAATAAATTTGAATGATCTTTTTTGTTCGCTTTCAAAAACTGATCGTTTTTTCCTTTGAACAATCCATTTCGTTTGTTCATCGTCATTCCTTAATATTTCAAAGCAACACCCACATTTTTTGGAGATCTTTCACAAAAACTTTTCAAACACAGAACTACATAACGTATGGTTGGGCTGACAAGAGATCTTTCACAAAAACTTTTCCAACACAGAACTACATAACGTATGGTTGGGCTGACAAGTTGATGTGAGGTCAGTTTTAAGTTGTCACAGCTTTAAGAAAACGCCAGGCGCAACCACATTGTGTCATCATAGTGACATTGATGCCACTCCTGAAGACCTCATATTGACCACTTACTACCACCTGCAACCTGACAGCTATTACAACTTCATATCGTCTGTAAGTCTGTCATCCTTCATAACTTTTACCCCTTCAAGAGCGTAATCCTTTTTCCCAACATTTGAATCGTTCCTCTTAACGTTTACATCCTTCCTCCCAAGGTTTAAACCCTTCCTCCCAAGGTTTACATCTTTCCTTCCAAGGTTTTAATTCTTCCGCCCATGGTTTACATCCTTCCTCTTAAGATTTAAACCCTTCCTCTCGAGGTTTAAACCCTTTCTCCTAAGGTTTTAATCCTACCTCCCAAGGTTTACATCCTTCCTCCCATGGTTTAAACCTTTCCTCCCAAGGTTTAAACCCTTCATCCCAACATTTGAATCCTTCCTCTTAACGTTTACATCCTTCCTCCCAAGGTTTACATCCTTCCTCCCAAGGTTTACATCCTTCCTCACATGGTTTCATCCTTCCTCCTAAGGTTTAAACCCTTCCTCCTAAGGTTTTAATCCTTCCTCCCAAGGTTTACATCCTTCCTCCCATGGTTTAAACCATTCCTCCCAAGGTTTTAATCCTTCCTCCCATGGTTTACATCCTTCCTCCCAAGATTTAAGCCCTTCCTCCCAAGGTTTTAATCCTTCCTTCCATGGTTTACATCCTTCCTCCCAAGATTTAAGCCTTTCCTCCCAAGGTTTTAATCCTTCCTCCCAAGGTTTACATTCTTCCTCCCAAGGTTTACATTCTTCCTCCCATGGTTTAAGCCTTTCCTTCCAAGGTTTAAACCCTTCCTCCCAAGGTTTAAACCGTTCCTCCTGTTTCGCTACTTAGCGATTTCCCTAAAGACCTAATATATATACCGTGTGGTATTCCTCAGGACCGGATCGTAAGACTCCCTTCTCTCAACGCTCTTCATAATAAAAAGGATGATAGTAAGGTTCCGAACGTTTATTTCTCTGAGCCTTCAATCTAAATAAGTTTAATAAACCCACAGAAAAAGCTTTGAGTGACAAATCATACAACTACAATAAATAATTCACTCAGGCATTAAAAAACTGTGGCTAGGAACCAATAAACACATATACAAATATCAATCATATTATAATCAAACCGACAAGCATAAATATATATAAAAATAGTTACCACAGTGATCCCAGAATTCTGAACACGGCTAATACTTGCAAAACGAATAAACATATACTGACATAAATTAGTTACTATTCCGCAAGAAATCTTGCGTCTGCGCAGTCGGACTGTAAACAGTTCCTAAACTAGTTCTTTCACAATACATTCCGTACAGATCTTCAGGGAGAACTCAGAAATACCCAGGGGTGACAAGCAGACTTTCTACACGCAGCATGGCTCGCGTAACACCTCCCAAGGTTTAAACCCTTCCTTCCAAGGTTTACATCCTTCCTCCCAAGGTTTACATAAATTTAATAGTTTCTTTATTCTAGAACCAGATTGAAAAGATAGAAGAAGAAGAACCAGAAGAATATGAGGTATTTTAAATTTCCAAAAATTAAAATTTTTATGTCTGTGGTGATGGATTTTTTCTTAAAATACCTATTTTCATAATCGTTACTTCTAATCCTTAAGATAATTATTGAACATAATATGCAACTTATTCTGTATCTTTTTCTTTGAAAACGGCTAACTTTAACTGTTTTCAGGAACCTATGAGAGCGGAAAATTCAGCGCAAAAAAAGTCCTCAAAACAGCACTAATATATGTATGTGGTTTTATTGCCAAAAAACTCCATACATATATATATATGATTGGATAGACTTAAAATCCAGAGGATCCTTGTTTATTCATTCAAATATCTATTGGAGGAAGTTTAAAAATATGAGAAAATATCTCAAAAAATAAATGGAGAGTCTCTGGATAAAGGACATGATCCTATCGAAAAAATAATTTCAACTATTACTGCAATAAACCAAAGATGGCCTCGGGAGGTTGTAAAACTTTTGTATATGTAAGAAGTATCAGTAAACTGAAAAAAATTTAATGTAAACTTGAAGGAAAATAGTAAAAAAATGTCAGAACACTGAAACAAACTGCTCAGTTTATGTTTTGGAATTATGGTGTGATAAAATTATAAAGCTTGACGATCTGCTTTTAAAAAATAGAATGTATAAAATGTCAATAAATAAATGTATTGAAATATGGATAACATTCTTTTCATTTTTACGCGAATTTTATGTTAGAAGGTTTTATTTATAAATGACTAATATTTAATGTGCATTTCCCGAAAAAGTTTTTAAAGGTGAATCAGGCATACATCTTTATATGGGACACAGTTACGTGGGCAGTCCTGTTAGACATTGAATTATGTTTACTGTCCCTTTTTGCATAGATTCCCATGGAATGAGAACTTGTTTTTGCTTTTATTAAAGCATCCGAATTTTACCATATAACGTTTCGCAATTTGAATATACTCTTGGTTATTATCATTTTCTCTCCTGCATAAACTCGCAAGCACCAAATATTCTTGCGTTTTATAATAATTATTCATGTCTACGATAGTTATATATCTTATTATCCCCCCTCCCGCATAATTGATGTTTTGCCCCCTGAATTCTTTGTTTTGATCTCCTCCCACTGCAGTACACAGATTCGACGCATCAGATATGGCGGTTCCTGGTATATATATTTCTTGACCTCAAGGATCAGTGTTGGGTCCTGCTTTGTTAGTATTGTATACAAATGATATGCTTAATACAATAAATGGTCTGTTAAGTCTTTCTGCAGATGATACAGGACTGTTTTTATTGAATAGTAGTTTACCTTTTCAATCAACAATGCTGAAAATGAACTAAAAAATGCATCTCCTTGGTTTAAATCTAATATATCTTACTTTAAATGCATCTCACAGTGAGGCTTAACCCGTTCAAGGCATGAAGTTTGAGCTCTAAACATGAAATTAATTCTGTGCTAAATAGGGGGTCAAAATGTAAAACATCAAAATTTGGGACCAAGGAAATCCTGATAAAATCCAATTTAAGATTTGGAGAAATTCAGGTTTCAGTCCTGATTTCACAGATACTTGACAGTTCAATATATTCTTGCACGACCATTTCAGGACAAATATGTATAAGTACCACTCTTATTATTTTTGGAGGGTCATACAAAATGATGTTTCGTCTAAAATGCCTTCGACTGGCAGTTTCTGCGCTAAACTTGCAAAATTTAGATTAGGATGTTCGGATGTTTAAGTCAAAGGTTCAAGCGATAAAGTCCATGATTTAGATGATAAACTCTACAGTTTAGATCTTAAACTCCATAGTTCAGGTGATAAGAGTTAAGGGTGGTTTAGGAGATAAACTACCATTAGTTTGAAGGAAAATTGCATTGTTTTAGTGATAAACTCCAAGGTTCAGATGATGATCTCTAATCAATTCAGGTGATATCCATTCCATCTTTGGGATTCTTGGTAGTTATGTCTTGAATGAGGTGTTCCCTGAATATGTCTTGATGAGTTTATCATCTGAATAGGGCAGTCAATCATGTAAACCTAAAAGTTTATTATCTGAACCTAGAAGTTTATCATCTGAACCTAGAAGTTTATCATCTTAACCTAGAGGTTCATCGTCTGAACATAGAAGTATATCATCTGAACCTAGAAGTTTAACATCTAAATGGAGAAAGGTTAGAGTATAGAATACTGATAGGCAATGTGTACAGGGAAATTGTACAGTCCCCTCAAAATTTGACGAAAAGGTCAACATGTACATTTAAAGAAGAGGGGGATTTTTATAGACATTATTTTAATTATGAATCAAAATTTAGAGAATAGTTTTTAAGCCTTTGGTCCCTAAAGGAACTGTAGACGTAATATTTAGTTCATAGAGGGCCACTGTAAGCTTTGTAATATTAAAAAAAAATGAGTAAGATATCCATATTTTTAACTTTAAAAGTAAGAGGGACTGGCAAAAATGGCCGGAATTCAAACACTTTACAAGCTAGCAAAACGACGATATCTTCCAAATTATTGAGCAGACAAAGATTTAAAGAGTACACTTGTGAGTCGGGCACGCCCCTCTTTAAATGTAGGGTAAATTAAATTTATTACGATAAACACTTCAAGTTTTTGAATCTTGAAAAATTCCATTATATTATCATATACAAAAGTTTTTTGTCCAAAAATATTTTTCTTGTGCTCCGAATTTTTTTATTTTTTTTTCTCACGAGCAATTTCTATTTGCATTCATATCCATGATAAAAATTTAACATCCAATATGCCTCTGTTTATGTGATAAGTGAGTTTACTTGGAATGAAAGACCAAAAACGGAAAATTTCTGTTTAAGGTCTTAACATTTTGTAGATTATTATTTAAGAGATTCGAAAAAAAACGGGGAATATGAAGAAACTAAATAAAAAAAATATTTTATAACAAAAATATTGATATCCACAAAACTGCCTAATCCCATTCGTAAAACTTAAGACAGGGTATTGTTCTGAAAACCAGAACCAGGTTAGGCAATTTTGTGAATATCAATATTTTTGTTGTGAAAATATTATTTTATTCAGTTTGTTTATATTCTTAATTTTTTCGAATCTCTTAAATCAAACTCTACACAAATGTTAAGACCCCATAAAAGGAAACTCGGGAGTTTTGTCCAATTCTATTTTAAATTTCGGGCTCTCAACTATGACAGATCTTTTAATTTTTTTTTGTTTTGTAAAGTTGTTAAATAACTTTTAAAGTTTATTAGCTATAGGTGAGTTATAATTATTTACAATTACTTTACAGGGAAGTTAAGGGAATTTTACTTTACCAAGGAATCACAAGACTAATTTTCTCTGGATGTTTTGTAGACAAAATTGGTTGAGGGAACCCGTGGTTGAGTAAAATTTTAATTTCCCAAAAAAGTGGTTGGACACAATTTTATCGTCTTTTGAGATGAAAATGCACGAATTTTTGTCAGAAGACTTTGCAGAACAGGTGGTTATTTTACAAAACTGTCCCAAGGGACGTTAAGTAGCCTAACCTCCCTCTGTTTGGGGAATCATAGGTCGGTTATGAGGGTCAAGGGCGGTAAAAATCATTATGAAAACGTAAAAATTGTTGTTTATAAAGTGAATATGTGCAGACTGTAGAATTGTTAATCTTTTTCCTTTAGACTTGTTTGTATGCTGCAATTAATATATTGTTTTAAATAAATTTTCCTATTTTAAATAATTAAGCAAAATTGCGTGGAGGAAGCTGGGGTTGCATAGGCTTACTAACATCTCGCCATATAACATTTTGCAATATAACATTTCGCTATATAACAACTTGCCTAAGCAACAACTCACCGAAGTAAAATTTCACTATATAACAACAGCTATATATAAATTTTTAAATTGAATTGTAGTGTAAATGAAGTTATACCAGAAAATCCCCAAATCAAAAACCGCAAATACAGTAATTCCAACAATGTCGGGAGTACTGTACGCATCTACAAGTCAGCGGAGGTTGGCATAAACAACTTCTCCTAAACTAAATTTATATCTACTTTTATATGTTTCTATGTATTCATCAATATAGCTGAACAATGTTTTATAATTTTATAAAATTACATATACTTTCTGCTAACTACTAATAAACAACTACTTTCTACTAAATGAAATTTATTATTTTGTTTTTTGTTTTAATATGTCGAGTTGTTATATAGGCTAGTTGTAGTTACTATTATAAAGATTTATTTACACACAAAGATATAAGTAAAAATGGTGTAGTTTAAATTTGTTTAAATAATTTGAATATATAGTTTTACAAAAGAAAAAAGAAAAGTATGCAAAATTATGCACAAATAGGCGACATTGATCATCATTCATTACATAACATATTTATCATTTCAGTTATTACGTAATCATCGAATCCTTCAACATATAAATAAATATAAAGGTAATTTATTCAATAAATAAGGCATTTAGTTCTTACATTTTTCGATTCACATATTTGTACTAAATTTGAGTTTAGTAGCTTTAGCAAAATTTTCACAAGTTTTCACTATTTCATGATGACCTGTTCTGCTATGAGAAAGCTTAGTTTTATTATCTGCATATACCCAGATGCCCGTACAGACACCCTGGCATCCAATCGTTGGAAAGAGTAATAACTTGATAACATTGTCATTGTATATACAGAATAGCACAGGGGAAGAAACTGCTCCTTGTCTGACTCCATTTTGTACATTGAAGGTATTTGAGAAAGCATTAACCCATCTAATATTGCATTTTTGATTTGAGTAAATGAACATTTAACACCTTAATGGTAGAGGTGAAACACTCCTCTCACTCCCCCCAGCTGCACATTGTAGTACTGGCTAGCTTCTGAAACCCAAACTGAAGTTCATCTGTGGTCAGCTTATCAGAGTTTAGAAGTAATATCAACCAGTCAAACCATTTTAGAATCATTGATAGCAATGTCATCTAAGTTAACCCTTCACTATGGGCACTTTGTGGAAATTTATATATAGGCGAGTTGTTATATGGCAAAATGTTACTTAGGCGAGTTGTTATATAGCGAAATTTTATATGGCGAAATGTTATATAGCGAAATGTTATATGGCGAGATGTTACTAAGCCGTTGCATAACTTAGAACCCCCATTGTTATTTATAAAATTTCAGGTTTAGTAAAAAGATTTTCAGATGCATGAATAGTTATATATTATTCCGGTAATAATGATTTTCATTTTCCAATTAATTTTTTTTTCAAAATGATTTTTGTAAATCAATGCAGAACACATATTGGCTGTCCCAAAAAGCAAAACAATTAGAAGCAAGGGCGGTTCTAGGATTAGGCCAGGAGGGGGGGGGGGGACGGTAAAAAAACGTTTTTTAACTCCATTTTTTAAACTGGTTTTACTGTTTGATTACCTAAAATTAATAATTATAGTTTTTTTACTAAAAAACATTAAATTAATATTTATCGAAGATTGTGCTGAGATGAACTCGGGAATGCATGACATTTTGTCTGGGCTTTAGAAAATGATAATATCTCCCTCATTGTACTCAGCTTTCGTACTAAATTGAACCAGGGAAGAAAAAGATTGCAGATTTGATCACTAATTAGAGCTGTAATTGGATAAAATGGTCTACCCTCTGTAAACTATAACCCCTGAGATTGTACAGGTTATTGTAAACAAACAAAGTTGTGTTGCGGGGTGAATTAGTAGATACAATTGTCTACATTTTATTTATTAACTCATCTGGCTGCAGTACAAAGTACTCAAACCATTCAAACGCTCTTCGGGAACACACATATTGTTCACTAAATCACAATCAATTCAACATACAATTCAAAAAATTCTAAAACTTAAGAAAGTGTTTTAGGACAAAATAATATACTCCTGAAAACACAGAAGCAACGCCTGGACGAAAAAAAGGTGTGATTGGAAGCAATAATGGTGAATTGTGACGTCATTTGTGGTGCGGAAAAAAAATGGTGTGGCGTGCCTTCCCCTGCTCATCACACAGTAAAACATCTGCTAAAAATGCTAAACTTTATAGCAAGATTTATGCAATATGCTTCCTTTTGTCAAAGACAATTTATATAGATATTTTTTTCTTTCCCTTGCGAGATATTGCAAAGCTTTACATTAAAACAAAAATTGTCCTTTAAACTGGAAGAATCTTAAAAAATAAAAAATATGTTATCAAATTGAAATTAAAGAGTTAATCCTCTTCAGTTTTGATGTTTAGGCATCTTGAGCATTTCAAAAATACCGGTTTTACTGTTTGATTGCCTCAATATGTTTTTTACTAAAAAACATAAATTAATTTTATCGAAGATTTTGCTGAGATGAACTCGGGACTGCATGACACTTTGTCAGAGAATTGATTTAAGGAAAATTAAATAGTTTTCTATGAAAAGATGTTCCTGGGTCTAAAAGGTGTACTTCACAAATGTGTGAAGTACATCTGCATTATGGAAACAGTTCAACAAAATGGCGGTTTTACACTTTTTCGAGTTTATTCCTCTCTATACTAATCTATTCTCTTAAATCTTATTAACTGAATAAAAAACAGACTGCTGAACCAGATTTTACCCACCGAAACCGAGTTCATTTATGTATTACAGAGTTCAAATTTGTTCAGTATACAAATTCTCTATTTGCCAAATCTTGATCAAGACAAGTATAAATAGCAGAAATATTAGAGAATACATAGATCTAATAAAGGCTAGAACATGCGAAGGTTCCATTGCGTACATTGAGTACATGATCAATAAACACACGTCTGTATTCAGGGATATTTAAGGACCCTTTGGATATGAAATACTAAACCTTCAAAAATAGACTAAAATCATAAATTTTACGTTATAAGTTAAAAGTTAGAGTATTTCTTAGAAAATTGTAAAACTTAACCCCTGAATGGTTATTGTATATAACAAGTGGTCTTAAGATGGCAGTCAAAAACCTTTTGTTGAAATGTAGCATGGGGTGCCAGGACAAGGATAGGCCTGCTTTGCCAATCTTGTAAGAGCTTATTAGCAGATTGTAGATGTAAATCTAGTCTGTGACAAAAACATTTTATAGAATTGCATTCAACACAATTATTTTCGCATTATTTTTGGACTAATATGAACTGAGTTTTTACAACAAACTAAAATTGTCTAACCTTCTGATATTTTAAACTTAGATTTTTTGATCCACAATAATGGGTTTCAAAGATATAGGGATTAGAAAAATCTATAAACAAAAAAATTGCAATGTCTAAAATTAGCAAAATTCAGCACAAATTTTAATTGTCAAAAAAATATAGAAGAAAAATACTAAGATATATTTATGCACGCTTAAATACCTAAAATCATGAAATTGTGAGTAAAAATAGGGGATAAAAATTCTTTTACTATTTAACAAACGTTTTAATGAATTTCTAGTAATACCTGGCTCAGGAGGAGTAGCTCTTACTCTGAGGTGTATCAGAACTCCTCTGTAGGAGAACAGAACTCATCTGAGGTAGAGAAGAACTCCCCTGAGGTAGAACAGAACTTCTTTGAGGGAGGGCAGAATTACTCCAAGAGGGAACAGTTGAAGTCTGTTCATGACTCAGAAGAATGTCTAAAAAATATGAATGAAATATTAAAATACATTTTTTTAAAACTTTCATTTTAAACCCTCCTGATGATATTAAGATATTGAAGCACCCTGTGTTCTGTGGAAAATTCGTTTACGAAACAAATAATTTAGGGTTCTCTTATAAGTGCACTATGGACTTATACTACATTAAGGGAAATTGCTAGAATTCAACATATTTTAAGGAATACAACAATATCTTTTAATTTAAAAGTGTTTAGAATCGTGATAACTCCTATGTGCAGGGAGGGCTTTGGGTATTTAGGAAAAGTCAGAAAATTTCAACAGCCTCAGACCAATACTTTTTTTGTTATGTAGAAAAAACTACAGGGGGTCTAATAGACCCCCCCAGCAGGAATAGGGTTAAGCAACATACAGTGAACTCAGGAATAGTAGGAAGATTTTGAGGATCAAGTTTAACTTAACCATGAAACACAGCGTTTGTGCAGTGTAAAAAGACCCATTTCACAAAAAAAGTTATTTTTAACATATTTCAGGCCTTTTTAAGGGGGGGGGGGTAGGGCGGGTCGCCCCAACTAGACCCTTAAGGATTTAAAGCTGCCAGCCTTCATAGGAATGAATGAAATTACATTTATATTAGATTATTCATTAGAACAATATTAACCAAATCCAGTATCCGCCCCTGTAAATAAGTCAAGACTCACCCTCTCCATTATCTAGCTGTTCCTGTTGATGTGGATGGTGGGGAAGATGGAGACTGGGAACAGCGTTATAACTTAACTTTCGTCCGCAAACGTATTTGTTTTCAAAATGTTTTGCACAGACAACACTAAATTTTCCCGGAGTCCAGAAACCTGGCCTTCCTGTGAAGTTACCTGTTATTCTATAGTATACTGCAGAGCGTCCCATATCATATTAGATTATCTCCAATCTTTAACGCCAAAATACGCACATAATACTCGAAAAATCTAGCACTTTCTGCATAAAGAAAATTCTATTAGCCTTATTAAATTTTTTTTAAATGATTCATTCTTCTTAAATTTTCTGATTTGTCCCCCAAATCGTAATTTAGACCCATTGACGTGGTCTAATTTGATGTGGGACACCCTGTATATTCTGAGGTAAACACAAATAAATAGCCAAAAATGTTTCATGGAACAGTTCTAAGGAGCCTATATAAGTATTCCACAAAAAACTAAATATCTGCAGCAAGATACATTATCAGACGACGACGACATTTTAGTTATTCTTTCAATGGCTCAAAAGTTCTGTGTTAAACTGTACACGCGAAATATTGGCTTGGTTATGCTTTTAATTTGAAAGTTTGAATTTTATCTTTATTTTGAAAAGGTGAACAGTCTCTTATATATTTTAGAATATTTCTGGTCTGAAGACATGAGATTCAATCAAAAAGCCAGCCTAGGATCTTATTTAATAGAGAAGAAGAGAAAAGTATTGTACTGCTGGAACCATAAGGTAAATCCTTTACACATTTATCTATTATCTTCATAGAAGGGGTTTATTCCTTTGGTGTACAGTCCCGTTTAGTCTTCATATGTGTACTGTTATACAGTGTAGAGTTTTCTTTAATTGCTTAATAGTCTGCCCGTTACTTGAATTAAAGGGAAGTATTCATAAAACATGCGGTACAAGTACTCTAGACCAGACAGTACCTGTATTTGAAATAGTTTATTTATTGTCATATTTACTATTTGCTGGAATTGGACGAACCTTGATCTTCTTTTCTGTAGTAATCCACTATCCGTATCTGTCCCGATCCTTTCAAGTAAATCTTTTATTTTAGGTTGCTAGCAGCTCATGGTTTTCGGTTTTTTCAAAGTATTCAAGGTTAGACTTGACCTTGATTAGAATTGACCTTGACTTATACTTGACCTTGGCTTAGACTGGACCTTGACTTAGACTTGACCTTGACTTAGACTGGACCTTGACTTAGACTTGACCTTGACTTAGACTTGACCTTGACTTAGACTTGACCTTGACTTAGACTTGACCTTGACTTAGACTTGACCTTGACTTAGACTTGACCTTGATTTAGACTTGACCTTGACTTAGACTTGACCTTGATTTAGACTTGACCTTGACTTAGACCTTGATTTTGAATGAAGTATCTAACTAGGGAGAAATTTACTAGTGACAAACTGTACAAGTTGACTGGGGTAATGAGCCCAAAAAGCCTAGAAGAGTTCCAAATTGCAGTTCAAGAATATAAAAATATTATTCTGATAAGGCATCCTATTCAAAGGTTAGTCAGACAGCTTAATCCAGAACTTCGGAGAAAGCGAAAGAATTTATAAAATGTTGTATTATTAACCTACTGATACCTGACATTTGTATGGGTGTATATATTGCTCAGGTTGATATCTGCCTACAGGGACCGAGTTCAAGGTTTGAAGCTATCTGTTCCATTGTTCAGAAAAATTTCCCAGACCCTTCGAATTGATGAAAAGAATTCTCGTAAGATTATGACAATTAGGTGAGGTTTGATTTACAGTTTTATTGAACTGGAAACTAAATTTTCCACATACATTTAAACCTAATCAACTTAGAACATTCCCGTCGTGCTACCTAGTTTCCAAATCAAAATCTGAGGCAAAATGGTCAGAAGGCTCTTAAGTTATGATATACAAACAGACAGTGCAGAGATTACTAATTTTTATGTTTTATGTATACAGTGAGAACCAGAAAACTGTAGAGTAGGAAGACGACATTAAAGCAATACATTGAATTATATTTTATATTGTTTCAAGGCAAATAGCTTTACAAGTTAAAAGTTATATTAAATCTATTATACTGCACAATTGCTAGGCCTATTGTTCATTGAACTATTTAAAGTCATAACTTGAGTCTTAAAGTCGACTTCCTATTCCAGAGTTTTCTGGTTATCTCTGTATATACAGGGTGTCCCACGAAACATGACGGTTGGTAAATATTTTAGAATGTCTTTTTCCATAATTTGTTAAGTTGTGTGATACCAAAGATCAATAAAAATATTATATGGGAGTCATGTTATATTAAACTTGATTTCAAAGTAAAAGATAATGAAGCAAAAGATTTTTTGACTAAAAATAACGATTTATTAAATGTCATGTTTCGTGGGACACCCTGTATCACAAAAAAATGAATATCCAAAGACGTATCATCATTATCGTCACCGGCAGACGGGATTGCATAAAACTTATCTAATTGTAATTAAAAGTTCATAAAAAGAAATTTATCTTTTAAGTTGTGTTTGATTCACAAGAATACTCTTTAAACCCTTGTCGGACCAAGGATAAACGGAATATCCGTATATTGAAGAAAATTTATGGGTATCATTGGAAATCAGACGTGGCATTCTTTAAAGGGAGTGAATTGCAAAACATGGTAGTTGAGCTGAAAGTGCAGTTTTGTAGAGAAAAACTTTAGGTTCATTTGAGACCAATGTGACATTTTTACGGTGTACAAGTCGTGTGTATCATTTCACCAGTTGTTTCAGTCAGCAGAAGAAATGTAAAATGTATCATTGGTATCAAATGAATCCTAAACTGTTTCTTTACAATACTGCACTTTCAGCTTAACTACCATGTCTAGCAAGTCACTCCCTTTAAAAAGAGGTTCACAATCACTTGAAAGGAAGATGGCAGCTTTAACAGTTCTTATATTTTTTTATGAATTTGTATACAATAATAACATTAAAACTGGGAGACGACTTTTTCGCTTAAATTATTACTTTAAACAGTACAATCAACTGTGCAGTGTAAACAGGTCAATTTTACTTAATAAGTAAAACTATAATTTGCTTTGTAACCACATCAAATACACTAAATTATTGCCGTAATATCCCCTTTCTATTCCACAGTTTTCTGGTCCTCTCTGTATTCATTCAAAATATCTTTTTTAATTTTTAAACATTCTTGTGTTAGGAAAATGATTAGTGGAAAGCCGGTTCTGCAGAACCGTACAGTTGAGGTGTACATGCCGACCTGGACAGAGTTCATTCACTACATTATACTCACTCCATATCAACATATGGTAAGATACTTTCTCACATACTTAAAGGGATAGGAAGACGACGTTTATAATCAAGTTATGACTTTAAATAGTCAAATGAGCGTGGGAGTGGGACACAGGAAGTGATTCAATAAGTGTCTAGTAAAACTTTTTGCTTTGTAACAATATCAAATACACTGAAGTATTGCTTTAAAGTCGTCTTCTTATTTCAGAGTTTTCTGGTTATTACTGTACAATGTAAACAGTCTTTTATTTTTTTTAATTATAACTCATCTTATTGAAGAGCCTTTGAGAAGAAAAACAATGTTTTGAATTTCTAACATGTAACCGGATAAGTTTGCTTATCTCATTCCTTTCACAAAATCAAAACTAAAGAAGCTACGAGGTCACAAAATCATTCAAGTAATATCGCCTAAAGTTGATTCTCAGTTTAGTTTACAGTGATGTGGTTTATAGATAACATCATACTAACTCCATATCAACATATGGTTAGATATTAATCTAAACTAAAAAAATTTCATTTTTGACAGAATAACTTTTCAAAAGCTGTCAATAAAAAAATTTAAATTGAATTTTTGATATGCAGCCAGACAAGTTTCCTGTTGATTGAGTTTAAAGGAATTAAGTCTTTGTCACAAACTCTAATGTTCTAATCCCTATCTTTGCAACCCAATGTCGTGATGGGCGGATTTTTGGTAATGTCAATTTGGTAATCACAATTTGGGAATAACAATTTGGTAATTACCAAATTGTCATAACCAAATTGTCATTACCAAATTGACGTTAGCAAAAATCCGCCCGTGAATATCGTAGGCCTTATTACTTTAAAACTATAAATTCGGTTAGATCCAATAATATTAAAGGTTTATACTAAAACTAAAACTTAAAGAGTTGAGAGGTCGCAAAGTAATGCCAGTGTTCTTTAGATGTCAAGATTGTAGTTACATATTTACAAAGATAATGAAGAAAATTAATTGTCAAATAAACAAAATAAATTGTGAATCGTTTTTTTAAAATTTACATAAAAGATTTTTTTTGAAGGATTTATGACAAACTAAAATTAAATGTTTAACCATGTCTATTTGTTTTCTCTTTAACTAGTCTATATAATAAAACAAGACATTTGCATATTTATATGTTGCCTACAGCCGGTCAAACGGCTGGACCGAATGGGCTGAATTTGTTGTGAATACTCATGAGTGGCCCGGGGGGTGTTTAAGGTTTAAAAAACTCGAAAATATTTTTTTTTTAATTTCACGGGCAACGCCGGGCCCTTCAGCTAGTATTTGATTAATATGACCTAGGACCATTTTTTCTGATCTGAAAACTGATATCATTAAAAACAATGCTTGTTCTTTCTTTATTATCATCATAATAGTCATTATTAGATTTTTAACATTCAAAAACAAAATTAATTTTTTTGATCAAATATAAAAAATATTTCTTCTCCTGATGCAGATTTTTATTTACGGACATCATTAATTCCTATTTTTAATTTGCTTCCTTCTATATTTCTCTTTATAATTTCGGATTATTACCTTCGATTGATTAAAAAGAAATTGAGTCTAAGATTTTCTTATCCGTTCAGCTTTGCAATCTTAAATCGTAGAACTTAGAAATTTTAAAACTTCAAATTCTGGTAGATAAATTAATCTAAGTTGGAAATATCAAAGGTTTAAATTTACATTAGGTTGCAAAAATATATGTATATAAAAAATTTGAGCTTCTGGCAAAAACTCAGTTCTGTTGTAGGACTTTCATTGGACCTTGTTTACCCATCACTGTTCCCCTTGCGTATCTAATTTTTCCATAATTCTTCAGGTATGTTTTAGATATACAGGGTCTTTGATTATGGCAGTGAGACACGACTTATTCTTTCTAATTTCACAGTTGTATGGGTCTAACTGCATACATTTATTTATGTATAAAAATATACAGGGATTTCTAGAACAGGTTGGGACGGTGTCCCACGAATCGTGACTGTAGCAAGACGACTTGAAGGTCGTCTTTGTTTTTTGAAATAATTTGCAGCATTTATTCGTAAACTAAATATTAGAAGTAAAATTCTAGATTTAAAAGTCACAAACCCCTGGTCTTTTTCCTTTTCTGTGTGTGTGGTCTACCTTTTTTTGTGATTTTTGTATTACCGGCGCGCACCGAGATACGGAGAATTTTGTTCATATTTGGAAACTTAGGTTTTTCAATAAAATTGAAATCTGAACGAAAACAGAAAAGCCTAAGATATCCGAGGAGAATTTTGTGGTAATTGTATTAAGAATCATACATATGTGTCTCCAACAGACCAACAAATTCAAATATCAAAGACGAGTTCCAAATCGTCTTGCTACCGTACTGTTTCATGGGACACCCAGTGGTTGTAAAAAATTATATATTTTAAAAACTTCGGATAAATACTAATTGATTAGTTGATTTCCAGGCTGATGAATTAGAAGATCAATCCAGAGTTTTAAAATCAACTAATCTTACTCAGGTTTGCAGAACTTGTAAGCTTTTTTCGAAATAAAAGTTTACAAGCAATTAAAAAGAAGCTTTTTTAATTGACAGCTTCTCTTTGTTTCCATGTTTATGTGTATCCATGCTGCTTAAAAGATTAATATGAATCAAAATTGAAATCAAAAGCAAACTTCATTATATTGATATAATCGCCTACATTAACTAGAGTTCCGGGTTAAAAGTCCAGCGAGTCTTAATTTTAAAAGGAGAGATCAGGAGAGATCAGGAGAGATCAGGAGAAATCAGGAGAAATCAGGAGAGATCAGGAGAGATCAGGAGAGATCAAGAGAGATCAAGAGAGATCAGGAGAGATCAGTAGAGATGCAGACATATCAGGAGATACCAGGAGAGATCCAGAGAGATCAGGAGAGATCAGGAGAGATCAGGAGAGATCAGGAGAGATCAAGAGAGATCAGGAGAGATCAGGAGAGATCAGGAGAGATCAAAAGAGATCAGTAGAGATCAGGAGAGATCAGGAGAGATCAGAGGAGATCAGGAGAGATCAAGAGAGATCAGGAGAGATCAGGAGAGATCAGGATAACTTCCGTAATAGCATTTTGGATCAAATGTATTTCTTTCAGAGATTTTATGTCCCAGGTATCCTGTAAAGCACTTAGGTAAGTCTTATAAAAATAAAAGCATAATCTTTCAGCTTCATTTTCCCCAAACATAAAAAATTATTAAATTAAAAATTAATCTACTTTTTTTTATAAATTCAAACCTTAATAATATTTACTTTTACAAATTATAGGATGCTGTATGAGAAATATTTTCCAGATTTTGTACTGTTTCAGTACAATTTGGATAAGTACAAACAGATGGCAAACCATGGCAGAGGTTGTACAGATTTATAACTCAGAAATTGTATATATTGTACTTTGCACAGGATGTTCCAATAAAATTAAACCCAGTGACGAGTTTTTAATTAGATGAAACTACGAAACAGTTTTCATTAAGTCATATTTTGCTAGAAACATCATTAAAACAATAATACCCCAATAATGCCGGGATTTGCGAAAGGTGGTCTGCATATTCTGTACGCTGAAACTTGGCGAGATATCAAGAATTTGATCGAATTTAACCAAAACTAAAAAAGACTTTGTTAATGTTAATTTCAATGTTAAATAGTAAGCACAAGTAAAACAAGAATTTTAACGGTTTTCCCAAAAGATTTATTATTATGTTATTATTATGCCCCCACCCCCCGGCACTGGCTTAATAATGCTGTTATTTTATGTTAAATCTACTACATGTCCCTATGAAGTCCAAATTGTAGTCCCAATTCAAAGCTATATATATCAAAATGTATCCCTTTGCATAGTTCTGCATTACTCTCTGAAGTCCTGATGTATTATTCAATGACTACTCCCCTTTGTAGTCCATTGTAGTTCCTATTCAAGGACCATCCTCTGCATAGTTCTGTATTACTCTCTGAAGTCCTGAGTAGTCTCCTGAAGAATATGGGGGGGGGGGGGCAAAGGACAATTATGTTGCGCGTAGTTGGAAAAATCTTTTTTTGCCCCCCCCCCCAAAAAAAAAGTGAATTTTATTTTAGGGTATTTTTAAAATATATAAATAGGCATTTTTTTGTAAGGAGTAAGACTTTTTAATTTTATTACGCATTATCAAAATAAAACAAGGTGCATTTTTTATAGATAGGGCTGTAAATTTTAAAGTTGGTTGTATTTGTAAAACATTTGCAGATAAAAAAAATAAAATTTAGGTGCTTAAATTAAAAATATTTAGTGGCATTCTAAAAAAAACAAGGATTAGAAATGTTGAATAAATGGGCAAATGTAAGTCTTGTGGGGCAATTTGAATAAGAATGTCTGAGTGTAATTTAAAAAATCCATGAAATTGAAGACATTGTTTTAAGAAAGGGCGAAAACACAAAGAATCTGAGCTTATATTGAAAAATGTTACAGTTGAATTTGAGTTCGCTTAAAGAGTCTAGGTTAAAAAAAATTACTGTGATCTGTGGGATCATTTTTTTCAAATTTTCGAGAAAACTAGCTGTTTTTCAACTATATGAACCCATGTTAAGGACTTCTTGCCCCCTGTAGGGGGGTCAAGCTTTCTTGAGGGGGGGCATGCCCCCTTATTCAGGCTAGGGGGAGGCCTGCCCCTCCTAAAGGAAAGGAGGAATACTGCCCCCCCCCCACCCCTGTATTTGCGCCTGAAAGACTTTAAAATGGAAAAGTTTTACTTTTCAAAAATGTTCAGCATTTGCAAAAAATTCCCTAGGTGGCATTTTCTGAAAATTGAGATAATAACCATAGATAAATAAATAAACATAGATAGCTTATGTACGCAAAATCACCAAGAATTGTACAGTCTGCGAACTCATACTTCTAGGGGTCAAAGTGTACTTCAATGATAAGCGGGGTGGTTTGGTGTTTTAATGGATTTCATAATTAATAAACCACTCAGGAGTAAATTTTATTTTGAGAATATCAAATTATTTCACTGAGCAATATATCATATTGACGAGAACTGAAGAAGGACATGAGAAGAACTAAACTAACATAAATTTCTCTCTACAGAACTCATGTACACCAAAAGTACTCAATCACATAAGAGCAGCCAATGTTCACAACCGACCTAGTTAATCTATATAATAGGAATATCTTTAAAACATTTGTGTACATTTATATCTTTCAAGATGAAAAATGTCGTCTTATGCACAATCTAATGGTAATCAGTAGCCTGCAATTAAACATATTCTGAAGAAAGTTTTTAGGTGCTTTACTTGAAACCTGATGGGATCCATTTTCAGCAGTGATGTGTCTGGCTTTACCTTTTCTTAAGATTTCGATAATTTTAGCTTTATTTAATAAATTGAAATCTTAGCATGTAAAAGTATAGGTTGACAAATGCATGACACAAATTTTTAAAAGTCGTTTCTCAACTGTCATGTTTCGTGGGACACCCTGTATAAATATATTTATCCTGCTGAGCTCTTAGATATTTGAACTAAAACCGTTTACGCAAACTATATAATGACACGTCCATACTGTCGTCGTGAAATACAGGTTGTCCCACGAAACATGACAGTATGCGAGACGACTTGAATGTCGTCTTGATTTTTGATATTATTTGCTGCATTTATTTGTCAACCTAATTTTAGAAGTAAATTTCTAGAGATACTAATCACAAAATTCTCCCAGTCCTGCCAATTCCAAAATGTGGTCTGCATTTTTTGTGCTTTCAATATTGCCCGAGAAATGAACAATTTCGTTCAGATTTCGACAATTTTGCTTTTATTTAACAAAATTGAAATCTGAACCAAACTCTTTATATCTCCGGTAATATTGAAAGCACAAAAAACGCAGACCACTTTTTGGAAATGCCAGGGTTAGGAGAATTATGTGATAATTGTTTCAAGAATCATACATGTTGAAGTAGATAGAAGACTAAATATCACAAATAAATTCAAATATCAAAGACGACTTTCAAGTCGTCTTGCTATTGTCATGTTTCGTGGGACACCCTGTATATCAATAAGATAAGGCCAACTTTCGATTTCAATTGTTGATTTCTATATCAAGCTTTTAAACTGCATGGATGCAAATAATCATGGAAACAAAGTAAACTTGTAATTTGGATAAAGCTTGTTAAAAGAAAAAAACTAAAATAGAAAAGTCGTCTGCATTGTATTGATATAAAGGACGACCACTGTACTATAGTTCGAACAAACGATATTTATAAAGAAGAATCAAGTTTACGGCACGTCAGACTAAAGTAAATTTCACGTAAATTGAAATCTTATCTGCTTTCAATCATAACTTCTCTACTTGAAGAGCCTTTTAGAAGCAACAAAAGGTGCTGAATTTCTAATACAGGGTGTCCCACGAGGCATGACAGATGGTGAATAGTTTTGAATGTCGTCTTCCATACACTGTATTATATATTTAAGGCTGCTTGCAGTTTATTTCGTTTAAAAAATCTTTTGCTCAAGTATATTTTACTTTGAAATCAATTTTACTATAATATGACTCCTATATAATATTTTTATTATTTTTTTGGTATTAAACAACTTAACAAATTATGGAAGAAGACATTCTAAACTATTTACCAACTGTTATGTTTCGTGGAACACCCTGAATGTCGCCAAATATACTTGCCTTTCTCATATTCACTCATGCGTAATATCAGAACTACAGGAGATACGAGGTCTCAAAGTACTGCCAGTGAATTGGTTAGAAAATAATGTGATCTCTACCGTTTCATTAACGTAGTAATATGATATCTTGCAAATTTTTTTTTCGAACAAATAAATTTTATTTTAAATATTATTGAGCAATGTTTATTTCTCCGAGTCGACTGTACAGAATACAGATGAGCTATATTATTTATCACATATATTGAATAATGCATCGTGTAAGGAGTAGATAGATAGATAGATGGCAACTATTTTTCGTTATATCGATAGACAGAAATACATTATAATCACATTGATTCTAGTGGCTTTGTCATATTTACAAATAACACAGGTAGATGAAGCTAATTAGAAAGTCGTCTTCCCAACATTCTAAAATATCAAAATATTAAAAAGATACATTGTGCATAGTTCCAAAAAAACCATAAAAAATTAGATTAAGAATTCTTAAAAATTTAAGAAAAAATAGGATCACAATTGTAAATAAAAAAGTTTAAGAATTGCTAATGGCCAATGACATATTTTTTTATAAAGGGTCGGTGTTTATATCAATATAAGGAACACGACTTTTCTATTTCAAATTACAAGTTTACTATTTATAAACAAGTGAAGCCATTAATTGATAGCATATCTTTGTGTCCATGTTATATGTGTATCCATGCTGCTGCTTGAAAGCTTCGTTGAAATCAAAAATGTAAATCGAAAGTCAACTTAATTGTATTGATATATACGACGACAACAGAAACTTACTTTAAAGATATCAGGGAAGCTAAGATCCTTTCTATTTGTACAAAACAGAGAACATGCAGAGACATGAACGCCAGCAGATTAGTAACCAGACATTTCGGCGAAGGTCTGTTCAAGCTCGTCAGCAATAGCCTTTAGCTTCTCCTGTTCTTGATACAGCTCATCTTCTAGTCTGTCAACCTACAGACAGATATTTATTATTCAATCAAAAAACAGATAACATCCTCATGCACAATGTTTCATAGACCAATTGACATGGACCAATCCTCAGTGAGGTCTGTTCTCAACAGACAGATAGTCTAGATAGATAGACGAATAAATATGTAGATAAAAGATTATATATAGAAAATAATATAAAAGGAAAATAGGACCAGAAATATAAAAATCTGCCGGAAAAAGTTAAACATTCAAACCTCTTTCTGCAGTTTCTGTACAGATCTCTCAGCAAACTCTGCTCTGGCCTCAGCCTGCTTCAGCTTAGCGGTCAAAGTTTTGATCTGTTCCTTGTAGGCCTCTTCTCTCTGGTTGGCCTTCTCTTCTGAGACCTCCAGGGACTTCAAGTTGTTACCAACAACTCTCAACTCCTCCTCCAGCTCCATGATCTTGGTCTCTCCGGTCTCTGCTCTCTCCTCTGCCCTCTCAAGCTCACCCTCTACCTGTGCCAGCTTCTTTGCAACCTCGTCGTACTTTTTATCCGCATCCTCGGCCTGGTTTCTGGCCTCCTTCAGCTCTTCTTCCAACTTGGTCATCCTCTCCTCATCTTGGATCGCTCTGTTCTCCAGAACCTTCCTCATACGCTCGGAATCATCAGCAGCTGTTGATGCTTTGTCCAGTTTCTGAGATGCAATAAGTAGTTTATCTTCACATTTCTCCAGGTCTTCCTCAAGTCCCTGAACTCTTCTGTTCAAGGCGTTTACTTCAAGCTCTGCAGCAAGAAGGGCTTTCTCCTTCTCCTCTAGCTGCTGTGTGGTGGTTAGAAGCTGCTCAGTGGTCTTGTCAAGATCCACCTCTAACTGCTGGGACTTCTTAACAAGCTCAGCAACCTCCTCCTCAGCCTTTTCTGCACGGATCTTGGCGTCCTTTGCTGCCTGCTCACAGGCATCAGACCTGTCCATAGCATTGTCCTTCTCCACCTTCATTGCCTGCATCTTCTTCTTGATGGCGTCCATTGTGCTGATCTATCCGCAGCAACCTGAGTCCTTGAAAATATATTTAAAAGAATAAATACTTAAATATTAAATACAAATAAATACACAATTCACCTTCTTTAAAATTTGAAAATTAAATAGAATTTGTAAATAAGATTTCATGTGTACGTAAAATGTGCATGCCCCCGGAACTAAGTTTGACCAATTTGTGGTTAAATTTTGTCATAAAACAAGGAGTCCTACAGTGGATTTTAAAATTGTAAGTTTTAACTTAGCTGTGATTAACAAGCTTCTGCTAAGTTCCAAATTGTAATCTGAATGATTAAGGATTTATAATAACAGTAACTTTAATTTTTTAATATAGATAATTAAAATATTATCTCAGATTTATTAAGTGGCAAGATAAATTTGAAGCCAAAATAAAAAAAAATCATGTTTAAGCCGGTCAATATTTCTATACCTGGACTTCATGGCTTGGCAAGAACTCAACATTCACAAAGCCTGGATTTAGATTTAGATCCAAGGCCAGGCAAGACACCTGCTGTATATAGAATCTTATTTATTCAAACATTTTTTAAATGTATCCGAAATATTGCTTAAATTTGCAAATATTTGATTTAAGTATTGAGGTATTTTGACAATGGTAAAAATGTAAAAGAATTTCACGCAAACTTGAACATTTTTACAATTACAGAGCAAACATTTAATTAGGTTACATTTTGTTTTAATTAAGGAATTATTTGTTTACGCATTTTTTAGCCATGTTTGCGCATTCCTCCGATTCTTTTCTTTTATATTTTTTTTGTTCATGTGTTCAAACGTTCTTGTGTTTAAATGTGCATGTTTTCAAATGTTCAAATGTTAAAATGTTAATGCATTCAAATGTTCAAATGTTTAAATGTTCAAATATTCATGTGTTCAAATGTTTATTTGTTCAAATGTTCATGTGTTCAAATGTGCATGTCTTAAAATTTTCAAGTGTTCAAATTTTCAAGTGTTTAAATGTTTATGTGTTCAAATGTTCATGCGTTCAAATGGTTAAGTGTACAACTTGTTAAACTGTTAAAGCTTTCAAAGTTCACATGCTAAAAAGACCATATATTCAAATGTTTATGTGTTCAAATGTTCACGTGTTCAAATGTTCACGTGTTCAAATATTCATGTGTTCATGTGTTCAAATGTTCATGTGTTTAAATTTGCATTTGTTTAAATGTCCATGTGTTCAAATGTTCATGTGTTCAAATGTTCGTGTTCAAATGTCCATATGTTCAAATTGTCATGTGTTCATGTGTTCAAATGTTCATGTGCTTAAATGTTAAAAGGTTCAAATTATCATGTGTTCATGAGTGAAATGTTCAAGGTATAAATTTGCATTTGTTTAAATGTTCATGTGTTCAAATGTTCATGTGTTCAAATGTTCATATGTTCAAATTATCATGTGTTCATGTGTTGAAATGTTCATGTGTTTAAATTTTAAAAGGTTCAAATATTCATATGTTCAAATGGTCAAATGTTCATATGTTCAAATGTTCGTGTGCTCAAATTTTCATGTGTTCAAAATTTCATTTGTTCAAATGTTCATGTGTTAAAATGTTCATAAGTTCAAATGTTCATGTGTTCACTTGTTCATGTGTTCAAATTTGCATTTGTTCAAATGTTCATGTCTTCAAATGTTCATGGGTTCAAATGTCCATGTGTTCAAATTTTCATGTGTTTAAATGTTCATGTGTTCAAATGTTTATATGTTCAAATGTTCTTGTGTTTAAATGTTCATGTGTTCAAATGTTCATGTGTTTAAATGTTCATTTGTTCAAATGTTCATGTGTTCAAATGTTCATGTGTTCAAATGTTCATGTGTTCAAATGTTCATGTTTTCAAATGTTCATGTGTTCAAATGTTCACGTGTTCAAATGTTCATGTGTTCAAATGTTCATGTGTTCAAATGTTCATGTGTTCAAATGTTCATGTGTTCAAATGTTCATGTGTTCAAATGTTCATGTGTTTAAAGGAAAACCCAAAATTCACTCTAATTATCATTTTATCTATTTTCAATGTTTGCAGGTAACCGTGTGTAAATAACATGCATATATATGAATATCAATTGAACTGGTTTTTAGTAAATGAACAGTTTAATGATTCTTATACATTAGAAATTATCTGGTTTAGACCTGACTTTAGTCAAACCATAATCATTAATTGTTTTTCCATAATTGATTCATTTATTACTTAAACTAGTTTACAGAGTTCTAATTGATCAAGTTTTTGTACCTTAGTAGATCAACTAGCTTTCATTTTCATGTCAAGAAATTTAAAACATTTTTTTCTAATCAAGTTTTTGTTTTAACAACCTCATTTTTTAGTTTCAAATTTCGAACAGTCAAAAGAATTTTGGAATAGTTAATATTTTGTTTGATATTATTAACAGAATGTTCATGATCTTACAAAAAAATTCTACAAAAAAAAATAATTGTTTACAATTTATTAAAATTATAAAATTCAACTCAAATAATTGTTTTATGTTAATTTTCAATAAAAAAATACTAAATATATTACAATTTATCATATTATACAAAATATTAATTTTTAAATATAGAAAAGGAATCGTACATCTATAGAGCTCGGAAATAATGTAATTATCAAATATCGAGAGAAAAAAATTAATTTTTTTTGTTAAAGAAAAAACTTTTAAGTTTTAGCACAATTAGTAGTGTTGAGCCACTGACAGTAATTTATGAAGTATTAATTTGGAATTAAATTTTACAATTTTAGCAATCTAATATTCCTAATTACAGGGTAGAGATTTAACATAGTATTTTGTGATCATGAATGACAAACTGTGTACAAAAAAAGTTACACTACGCTAGTTCATTAACAAGCAATCTGAGACTTTCGATCACAATTTGACCTATTAAACATCAATATTTTTCTTTCAAAAATGTGTTGCTGGTGGATGCGTTTTAAATCGAAAAGTTTTTACATTGATATTATTGTTGTCGTCCAATGCGTCCACATTTTGTCCAACGAAAACTTTTGACTCGTATGTAATTCCTATTATTGTAAATGTTCTAGAACAGACAGACTTTGAAAATATTTAAATTACAATATATTTCATGGAGACGATAATTCATGGAGACGATATTTCTTTCTGAAATTGTCATGTTTGATGAGAAACCCTGTATGTGAACCCTGTATTGTGACAGTTAAATAATGAAAAATATCGAATCATGCTGTGTTACAACTCGTCTTTTAACCTAAAAAGTTTTAATGTATTATTTATCATTTTTTTAAATTAATGATTATAATTAAAAATGAATATTTTT